CTAATACACTGAGCCTGGAGGGCTGGGCTGGGACACCTAATACACTGAGCCTGGAGCGCTGGGCTGGGACACCTAATATACTGAGCCTGGTGCGCTGGGCAGGTACTGAAAGGAGAGTTAACTTGGAGTTGGTTCACAGTCTCCACCCTGCTCTGTCACCAGGCACTGTGCTTGCACCTGAAAAGATTTCACTGGACAGCGTATTTAAGAAACAAAGTTGATACCTACGTTCAGTTCCCACTGCGAGGCCTGGACATGAAGTGCTACCTACTAGAGGTAAGGCAGCAGGGGAGGAAGTCTTCAGAGAAGCGGGCACTGGGCTGCCCTTGACAACTGCTCCTAACGCCTAACTTGGGGTACCGTCTCTTTTTTTCTGTAGCCGGAGAACAGTGGCCCAGAGAGTTGCCTGTATGACCTTGCTGCTGTGGTTGTACACCATGGCTCTGGGTGAGTTGTCAGCTTACCGGAGTTGGGAATACTTGGTAGCCACACAAGATGGCGTGCAATTTCTAGTTAATCACTGGTTGTCCCAAGACTCCCTAAAAATGGATTTGGAGTCATTCCGGGGTAGAGAATGCTCCTCTGTGTGGAGCCTTCTTTCGAGGATGCTGTGAAGCAGAGGGAGCCTGTGGGAGGAGAATCAGCACTCCATCTCTTACTCTGCACCACTACACTTCCCTTCCTTATGCCAGTTCAAACTGAAGGAGTGGCAATATTTGGAATAATGTACCCTGTCATCTACTTTTAAAGATTAATTTTTAGTTTTGCCGAATAACATCTGATTTTTTTCTTCATCCTGGAAGTTTGAGTGTACCTTTTTCATGTCTGGTCTAATAAAGAATAGTTACTTTACTTTCAAACTCAGACCAGTCTACTTGGGCAAGCCATCACCTATATCACCGTCCCTCCCTCACTGTAGATGAGCTTGTCACAGCTGTGAGTCTGCCGGAGGCTGAGCCCTGCTCCTTTAGAAGCGTCCTGTTACTTCTAAGTTTAGGACTTTTATAGACAAAAGAAAAATCAGGCGTAGTCCTTAATGGAAGTACTTTTATATTCTACCTCACCTTTTATTCCTGGAATCCTTGCTAAAGATAGAGAATTTGCTGAGTTGTCTCCCAGTTTGTCTGATTCTTCCTGCCAGTCTACTGACAACTTTGTATTTGGCAATAATTATCATTTTTTCCCTAACATCCTACTCTTGTTTTATGGCTGGGGGGTTGCAGCATCTTCCTGACACTGTTGACACTGGACAGTTTTGTGTCCTCTCTGGATTTCTGTGTGGATTCCATGGTGACTGTCCCATATAGCCTTTTCTCTTCTCATATCTCTAATGCCGTTTGCTTTTCCCAGGAAATGGGAGAACAAGACTCAGCTAAGGATCTTTGTAGCACCTATAGGTCTCCACCTGCTATCGTGTCACCAGGCAGTGCTGACAGGCAAAGCCCTTCGTGACCAAGCCACAGGGCAGCTTTCGTGAGGGCCGACCGATTCTCTGGCATCAGTTTTGCTTGTGTCCAGAGTCTTTTGCTTATGTGTGTGGTACTGGCTTGGTGCTGTCTTCTTTGTTCTAGAAATTCTTCTTTTGTGGTCAGTTGGTGTGTTGTTTCCCAGTGTCAGTATATTCCTTGTCTGTGGATTTAGAGGAAACATAAGAGCTACACTAAGCATCTCAGACTAGGATTTATTCGCTAATGACTGTGCTTATTAAAATGGATGGCCTTTAACACTGCTCAGCTGCACAGACCCTTTGGTGACTTCTGTAGCTTTTTCTCATTATCATTTGAGACAGGGTCTCACCCTGTAGCCCTAGAACTTACTATGTAGAGCAGGCTGCCCTCAAACTCACAGAGAGCCATCTGTCTGTCTCCCAGGTGCTGGGATTAAAGGCATGCAGTACCCAGCCCTTTTTATGTTTACTGTTTTACTTCCATAGTCTTTTTTTTTTTTTTTAACTTTTTACCTTTTCTTTGCAGGGTTGGTTCTGGACATTACACAGCATACGCAGCTCACGAAGGCCGCTGGTTCCATTTCAACGACAGCACTGTGACGGCAACCGATGAGGAGACCGTTGGGAAGGCGAAGGCCTACGTTCTGTTTTACGTGGAGCGTCAGGCCAGAGCCGCAGCAGATAAACTGTAACGCCTCCCGACCATGATTCACCAACTATACTGGACAACATTTCCACTTTCCATAAATACTTGATCCAAGAGTTAATTTCAGTATGCACTTTTCAATTTCCAGTGTGGGGTTTAGTTTGGTCAGTGGTAGTGACGTACCCAATATGGGCACCAACTAATCTTCATTGTTGTTCTACCAGAAAACCTCAGCAGGCATTTTGATTGGCTGCTTTAGTTGTAATAATTCAATTTTTATATGTAGTTTCCAGAACTTAGTTCTGTTTGACTTTTTATATTAATGTTTTCAATTCTCACGGAGGCACATTTGCATTTGCTCTGCACTCACATGCTGAGAGCCTCCCTGCCTGCTGTCTTCATAGCGGCCAGGTCAGCGACGCCATTGTGAGGGTCGTGTGCGCAGGTCTGTGGCCCACCGGTTTCACAGTGACTGCTCAGGAATTCCTTCTGACTGTAGGCAGTAGTAGCTGAAGGTCAGTAGACCAGGCCGTCACTGCTGCCTGTGTCTCAGGGTTGCTGTTTCTCAGCATTAAATAAATCTGTCAGTTCCGTTGCATCTGTGCTAAAAGTTACAGAATTTCTCTATTTCTTGGTTCTTCTGTTAATATTTTCTTGGGGGCAGACAGGCTAGGAACACTGACAAGTGCAGATAAGTGTGTAAGAGCCCTGTGATTCAGCTGCATGGCAGAGAGAGATCTGTGTGTGGATTCTATCTGACCGTCAGAGGTGAGGTTTTACCCTCCAGACTTAACTTCTAGGCAGAAGTGGAGTCATCTATGCTCTGTGTTTGATTCACTCCCTGTCTTCAGCAGAACCAGGTGAAAGTGTATGTTTCTGAACAAGAATAGTTTCTATTAAATTCAGTAGCTTAAAAAATACTGTTCACAGAAATAGGTTAGAAGCACTGTTTGGATTCAACCCAAATTGAAATTTGGTCCATTTAAAGAAGGCAGCTAGTGGCAAATGCTGGAGGCCAGTGATTTAGTTTGCAGGTATTGCTATCTGCAAGTCCGAGAGTGCAGAGCTCCAACACAGCCTGCTCCACCCCCACCTCCTCGAGGGACAGAAGTGCACTTCATGCAGACTTTTTAGTCATCTTATTTTTTTCTATTAAAAGTAAGTTTGACAGCTTTCCTTGGCCGGTGTGAGGTTGATGGAGGATACATGGCCCAATTCCATTTTAATACTAGCTAGAGAAATCTTGCATTCCCTCAGAACAGCAATCACATACTGGATCAGCACCTTAGTACACTAACTTGAATCCATCAGTACAGCGGTAACAGGAAAACTCAGTCCTCAGTCACACTAGTTATGTCAGGACTGGATACAGGACAGTGCAGCTCTAGTATATTTCCGTAGGGCATGGGGTTCTCTTGCACAACACTGGTCTAAATTTCATGCAGAAAACCAAAGCTGTGACATCATGTTTAAGCACTACAGCTTAGAGTTAGTGCAGGAAGAGATTGAGGAGCTGTGCTGAGGTACATGAGGTAGAGGCATGTGCAGTTCTATTAGTCAGCTGGTTTGATCCACAGATCGAGGGTGACATGATTTGCTCTAATATATCAGAACCTTGATAACACCACAGCTAAGCCTCCCCTAACCTTGTACACAGCTGCTAATCCATGCTCCTCTGGCATTTCTGTCTTGGCCTCTGAATGGGCAACTGTCATGACATACACAATACTCAGAGCTGGCACTGTCAGGCCAGGTGGAAGAGCAGCAGCAGACTGAGCTACCGTGTGGGGAGAGTGGTCACTAGGCAGCACTGGGCATTCAAGGGGATGGAGCGTCTCTGGGAAGTTTTGAAGCAGCTTTCTTGCTTGATTTTACTTAAGCAGCAATGGCTGAGTGGCGCCATGAAGACTGTTTGAGAAAGTGACTGCACCCATTTGCAGTGCCCATCTGAACACCATGATGTACATGTGCCTGTTTGTTTTAAATCTGTGTAGCCTTACTGCACCTGTTACAAGCTTCTCTCTGTGTACTGTCCAGGGCTTTCCCTACATGTGCTCTAACCTGCATGCAACTTCTTGCTCAGAGCTTATGCAGAGGCAGGGCCTCGTGCATAGCCTGTCCCATCAACCCCTGGCAACAGGAAACTCCAAGTCCTCCCACACAGGTGGGAATAGAAACAGTTTGTGGCAACACAAGTCTTTCTCCATGGTGGAGAAACCTATGCTTATCCACTGTATTCTACTCAGTGTGTAGTGACAGATGATGTAATTAAACCAGTCACATGCACTGGCCCTGGTTGAGTGTCATGTGTCACACCCGTGGAACCTGCTCAGATTTATTTCACTTTTTTGGTTTACTGTATATGTTTAACCCATTGTAACATCCCCAGTCCCCTAAACTCATGTTCATCCAACTTCTGAAGTCAGCTCTTGCCCAGGCTTTGGAAAGACTCAGGTAAGAACTGTTTCCAGAGCATGGGTCCTCTGTGGCTGGGGACAGCCCTGAGAAGATGCCACAGCACAGGAAGGAGGAGGCACATATGTTTGTGACTGTCACCACTGGTCAGTAGCCCTCAAGCAAGTGGTGGCTGTGCCATGATCATTGGCCTCTAACACTTAGTAGTCCATATGATCCCGAGAAAATGTGCCCGTGGCTCACTCATTCTGGGTGCAGTTACACCCTTGTCCCACCTCACCAGCTGGGCTTCTCTGTGCAGAGTGACATCAAAGGTCTCTTTCCTAGGCCACTCCTGGATTGTTTCCAGTAGAGCTAAGAAATGGCAGAGCAGCAGCCAGCAGGGGGCGGTCCTGTAGCCTACATGAGCAGGAGGAAAGGGGAGTAGTCATGAAGGGGTTCTGTGGGGTCCTTTCAGGGAAGCTGTAGTGGTCCTATGTTTCCGCTGTGTTGTATGCTCTAAGAGAACTTCATACTGCAGATCTGCAGCACGGCAGTGCCTGCCCTCAACTGCTGGACACTTCTCACCACAGGTACACACACAGGCTACTCCTACCCGAGCAGGGCAGCTGGGGGCTGTATGCAGATGCAGTCATCTCAACCTGTCAGACCTGCAGTTCACTTCAGTCACACACTTCAGTTAAGTGTTCAAGAATAGAAGCTGAAAAAGAGCTGCTTCTGCCCACCCTCACAGGTAGGGAAATACTATCTAGTTTCTAGTTCACATAACAAGTGTCTGTCTCTCTGTCTGTCTCTCCCTCTCCCCTCCCCCCCCACACACATTCTTTTAAAACATTTCAGATGAATCTTATGACAGTTCAGGGTAAAAGTGGAGCCATTTGGAGCAAAGAACTCCTTTGCCATTGGGGTTTGCCATCCGTGCGTGGTAGCCATCCGTCAGTGTCCTGAGCTAAAGTAACAAGCATGATCCTCAGATTCCACTTACAGTTGGGGCGTGTCACCTCTCTTAGCTCAGTAGATAGGACTGGCCTCTTCCTAGCAAGGGTGAGCAGAGAAGCAGCACTGATACTAACAGCTAATGCTCACTGTCCTGCTAGGGAGAAAGGCTGCAAGCCCAGGAAGGGCTGGTGTAGCTAATCACCTCCAATGAAAACACCTTGGAGAAAGCCAAGAGCCCAGTGCTCACCACTATCAGCTCAGAGGAAAAGAAATCCCTTTTAAGGAAAACTTGTAACTTCAATGGGCTGCTCTTCTGCCAGGACTTTGAGGCCCTCTGAACATAAGCTGAACCACAGATGGCTTCAAGTAAGTCTGGATCCTGACACCCGCCCTCCCCACCCCGAGCTTCAGCACCAGTTGTTGGCCAAAAATAAACACCATTCCTCAACCATATATGTCCACCAGTCCTGATCTGGGGAGGAAGCAGGAGGCAGGTCAGACCCTTACTGGGCACTCACGTGAGGCCACCGCTCACCATGCACATAACCCAGCTCAATCGGGAGTGTCTGCTGTGCCTCTTCTCCTTCCTGGACAAGGACAGCCGGAAGAACCTCTCCAGGACTTGCTCCCAGCTCCGAGATGTGTTTGAGGACCCCACTCTCTGGCCCCTGCTGCACTTCCATTCCCTCGCCGAGCTCAAGAAAGACAACTTCCGGCTGAGCCCTGCACTGCGCAGCCTGTCCATCTGTTGGCATTCCAGCCGTGTGCAGGTGTGCAGCATCGAGGACTGGCTCAAGAGCGCCTTCCAGAGGAGCATCTGCAGCCAGCACGAGAGCCTGGTTAATGATTTCCTCCTGCAGGTGTGCAACAGGTAGGCCACCTTGCCCCTGAGCAGTGTGGCTTTGCTGGCCCTGGCTCCAGGGGGACTGGGAAGCACACGTTCCGAGAGCAATATGGCTCCAATTGAGACCAAGGCCGACAAGCAGTGCCCGAGAGTTGGGTTAAATCGGCTCACTCTCAGCTCCCGAAGAGTCTTCTGTGGCAAAGGAAGTTCCGAGTTCAGCTGGCCCTGTCCTTGGAGCAGCTGTCTTCACTGGCAGCCATTAAGGCCTGGTTGGGTTCAGCTGACCCTGGATTTTCAAGGTCAGGCCCTGGGGAAAGGCTCCCAAAGGCATCAGTTGGCTCAGGCCTCTAATTTGGCCAAAAATAAACACCATTCCTCAAACAGGAATGCAGTCACTGAGGCCTGAGAGCTGCTGCTGAGGAAGGCGAGCCCGGGGTGCTCAGGTGAGCTGACGCAAAGCCTGTTGCAGAGTAGCAGTGAGCGTCTCTGAGGAACACTCATCTTGCACAGTCCGGGGGTGGGGGTGGAGGTATATCAGTTGTCAGAGGCAAAAGGGATGCTCTGAGACGTAGTGTGGGGTGCCCAGTGTAGGACTGCAGGTTTTAGCAAATACACACCACCATGTTAAACTTAAGATAAAAAAAATTTTAATGTAAGAATGCCCTGAAAACATCCCCTATTTGATCTTTTGGCATCTCCCTGCCCCCATCCCTTGCACAGGCTGAGCCACAAAAATGGGTTGGTGACAACTTCCTGGACAGGGCAGCCATGGCCAACGTGGCTGTGCCAGCTGCTGAGGAGAGCGAGCTCCCTGCGAGCTAAGAAGCTTGGGTGGTTGGCAGCTGCTACCATTTAGGGTTTGTACCACTGCTGGCTGGCCTCACCCCAGGAATAGGAAATCATGAGTTATTAATTATTAATTATTATTAATGGCCTTTCATTTGTTCTCTTCTCCCCAAGTTCGATTTGGGCTTGGCTCTGACTAGGCCAGGTCAGGCCATTTTGATGGGTTTCACCAGGCTCAAAAAAATCAGACTGCAAGGAGATGAAGGTAGAGGAGAGGGAGTGTCACAATCCCGTAATGGTTCATTCTTGCTGGAAGAGAACCAGGTTTAATCCCTGAAACCAGCAAGAGTCGATTTAAGATTACAGGATCTGCTAAGCACTGGTTCCCAGTGTCAGAGGAGGTGCAAAGGGCGTTGAGTTAGTCCTGATACTGTACAACTGACCCCAGACCAAATGTTTAAACGCCCACCTTGTACCTCTTTCTCTGCAAAATGAGACAATTTATGACACAGGGCGACAGGATGAAGTGACACAGTAATTTGAGAAAGGTAAAATGAGCTGGGGGTGTAAGAGAGTCAGCTGTTCTGGATTCTTCTGCCTTAGTTTCAGTCTAAACCTTACACTGAGGGCTTAAATGCACCTTCATAGCCATTATGATTAACTGTGCATGGCCCACAAAGTGACTCGCCAAGTCACTTGAGCCACTCTGAGCCAGTCTCCTCATTTACAAAACTGGGGTAGTAGGTGTAGTGAGCGTGACGAGGCAGGCATGGGCTCGGCATGTGAAATGGTACCAAGCCCAGTACATTTTATCTTCCCGGGCACAAGGGAGGTGCAGGCGAGGCACTACGGGGGAGGGTGGTGTGGAAAGGACCTGATCCCCCAATCCAGATTCAGCTCCCTGACCGCAAGGCCCGGGCCCACTGGAGGCTCCTCCCGAGGAGGAAGCCACGTGACCACCCTGGGCTCTGCCTGCCGTGGGCTCTGCTCACCCAAACCTCAATCCTCACAAGTGCGTGGCTACACGTCACCCCACTCTTCTGCCACACAGACGTAAACGTTGGTTCAGTGATAGTCGGGTCACATTACAGATAAGTCCTAGACCGTACCAACTTCAGGGCCTGCCCACAGGGTCCCTGTGCATCTTGCACGGGCTGGCGGTGAGCAGCTAGGGAGGCCCTAGCCTCGGGTGGGCTCAAAGGCACACCGCTGTCCCCCTCGACCCGTGAGAACGGATCACAGACGGAGGGGCAGGGGCCCTGGCTGCAGCCCTAGCCCCTCGGACTCGCTGCAGTCTCCGGTAAAGCTGCGCCTCGGCCCGGTGTCATCGCGCTCTTCCCGCAGGTGCCCCAACCTGACGTCCGTCACTCTCTCGGGCTGCGGCCACGTCACGGACGACTGCCTGGCGCGCCTGCTGCTCAGCTGTCCGCGCCTGCGCGCGCTGCGCCTCGAGAACTGCGCGCGCGTTACCAACCGCACGCTGGCGGCCGTGGCCGCGCACGGGCGCGCGCTGCAGACGCTGCACGTGGACTTCTGCCGCAACGTGAGCGCCGCCGGCCTGCTCCGCCTCCGCGCCGCCTGTCCCGACCTGGTGCTGAGCGCCGAGCGCAGCGCGGCCATGATACCCGACCAGCCGCCGCGCGCGCGCCTGCCCGCCGCCCCGGGGGTCTCCGCTGCACCGGGGAGACAGAGCGTACCTCACCCCACGGGCTCCTAGTGAGGATGCGCGCGCTAGTAAACGAGCGGATGCACGGAAAACTCTGGTTCTCTTTAAATGTCTGCCCCGTCCCCGCGGCGCCTGTCGAACGCACGCGCGCTTACTCGCCCTGGCGGCGGGGCTGCGTACTAGGCTGCCGAGAAACCCCCGAATAGCCGGATGAAGAACCCGAAGCTAGGGCCTCCCTAGCTGCTCGCTGCCAGCCAGCCCGTGCAAGATGCACAAGCCATTCTAGAAAACTCACTCCGGTCCCTGCATGACTGATAGTCACCAATATTTCTGTTTCTCACAAGGGAAAAATGCATCACTTTTTAAAAAAGCCAGTACTGAAAGTAGTAGCCCTAGTTAAAAGTGCTTAGAGAGCGAATCATTAGTAACTGGTGCAAAAATGAGACTAGGTTTTCTGGCCGTGAGTCAACTTCCAAGTCAACTTCCCTTTAGTCGTCTAGTCCCGGTGGCCAGGGCCCTCTCAGTTCACCCAGAGGCCTCCCTCCCTAGGCCGGAGCCAAGCAGTCTAAATGAACACAGCCAGGGAGTAGGCAAGCTCAGCGGGGCTTCTGCGACTGCCACCTATAATCAAGGCTTCTTCATTTATCTGCAGCCAGGTTTTTTCAGTTTTCTGTGAAATGGTTTCCCGATCCCTACACACAGGTTGCCCAAATGGAAAACAAGAAAGAGACAAATTCTGTTCTGTTCCCATGGAGCCTCTATTCTAGGGAGACAGTAATTGTTGGTACAAAAGAAAGTTTGTGTGGTGGGTGGGGATGACTCCGGGATTGATTGACCAAACTAAATCTCATGGGGAAGATGTCACTTGAGCCATCAAACAGCCAGGGAGCCAAGCAAGTCATATGGGAAGTGTTCCAGGGCACCATACTAGAAGCATGCCAGGGGTGTGCAACAGAGATGAAGTCAGCATGGCTGAAGCAGGGAGAGGAGTGGAGAACGGGATGGAGGGAACTGTGAAGGACAGATTATGGGGAGGATAAAATGAGCCCTCGGAGGTAACCTCATGACAGCAGGAGCCAGAGCACCAAGCACAGGGAAAATGTGTGACAATCCACTGAACAACATCCAGGTGCATGTGGCAGGCGCAGCCTCCAGGCCCCTGGGGACTGCTGAGGGGCTTTCCTGCTGCTGCCGCCAGGTCCTGAGCTGTGGCAGTGCTTAGCTCAGAACCCATAGGGAGAGGCATTATTATTGTTTTGTTTTTTGAGACAGAGTTTCTCTGTGTGGCCCTGGCTGTCCTGGAACTCACTCTGTAGACCAGGCTTGGCCTCGAACTCAGAAATTCGCCTGCTTCTGCCTCCCATGTGGTGGGATTAAAGGCGTGTGCCACCACCGCCCGGCTATTATTTTCAATTACAATAAACTGAAGCCTGCAGACTGTACACTCTCAGCTCAGTAAGAGAGAAAACAGTGCTTGTCACTAGGACAAAGCCCAGAGGAGTCAAAGAGACCATAACCTCATTCGCACAGAACCTTATTCTCATAGTGAAAGCCCAAGCAGGGCCTTCCTGCCCCAAGCCCAGAATTAAGGACATGTCTTTATCTAGAAGCCCCAGGAACTTGACTCTTTCTCTAGGGAACGAATTCCACATGAAAACTTCAATAACATGCTGCCTGGATTCTCAGCTTCATCAGGGATTTTCACTCAGATTCAGAAAGACAAACGCCGGCCTTTCCACTGATACATTCTAGCGCTTGCCTTCCCATTTCTCCGCCTGGTACCTTATTTGAGCAGGCTGTCAGCAATGGCCTTTCCCTAGAGTCCTCAGAAGGCAGCCTGTGACAGATTAGGTGGGAGGAAGAGCCAAGCTGCCCACTGACCTCCAACTCTTCTGGTACAGTACTGCAGCAGGAGCTTCCCAGCAAGGGGGCGCCTCTTGCCCCAGCATGCTCAGCTGACATTCTTGCACAGATGAGGAACCGCCAGTGACCACAAGGGCTGGGTTAAGCACCAAGTGGGGCTCTTTCTCAGTCCCTCATACACACACTAACCCTTATATGAATGTACACAGTCAGCTACTCATCCACAGCCAGTTACTGATGCGTGCATGTGCACAGCTGTCCCTTCTGGACCACTGTCCCCTTCGCCATCCTTTGGTGCCATCATGGCTCATTCTGTCTTCTTTATCACATGATTATCACAAGACACCAGGGGTGCTGAGGCTTTGGCAGGAGGAGGGGTGGTGCCAAAAGGCTCTGCTCTAGGCTGAGTCAGGATACCAGCAGAACAAAGGGAGGCCAGCGGGGTGAAAGCCCGGGCTTCCCCCACCACAGGATCCCGTTTCTGAATGGCCCAAAGAGCAAAGGGACACTCACAGACAGACGGCAAAGCTCATTCTGCATCAACAACAGCAGCCCTACTCTGATTCCTCAATCTGCTTTATTTCTCTGCATAAGGAACCCTGCACAGGCGAATCAAACTAAAACAAAATAAATATATGAATATTCATGTAAAACTGTCCTTTCTAATGAACAATTATACACAATGTACAATTTCATGTTCACTGGGTGGGCTTACAAAAATGTATCATTCTCAACTAAAAATGCACCAAAATGGCTCCATGCAAACTTATCCAAAGTGACCAAAAATACAGAGGGGAACCTGACAGTTTGTTTCTGCCTTTTGTTTTATACAATCACAGAAAAATAAAACCATCTAATTTCTTTGTTTCATTTGAAGTAACTAAATGTGGCCACTGTTTATGTCAGCTTATGTTCCTAAAACATCTATGTAGTTACCATAAAAGTATTCAACATCAAATCACAGGTGAGCATTATTGAGAAAGGTGGGTGGCAGCACCCTCACATCAGTCAGTAGTCGGTGTCAGAGCCCTCTGCAGTGTCCACGTTTCTTGAGAGCATGTAGTTGTCCATGTCAATTGAACGGCAGTTGTTGATGGCATATCGCAGGCGCTCAGCCATGACCAGCTGGCTGGAATAGGGGGGCAGCCGCAGCTGGAAGAAGCAGGTCTGTGAGGTAGGCAGACTGTCATAAGGCTGTGGAGAGACAGATGAACAGCTGTTATCCAGTGCACTGCCATCCCAGGAGCGTGGGGCTATTCACTACTACCCCCAAAACAAAAACCCCCTGACTTCTGGCTGAGTTGCATGGAAGCAGAGTAGGTCTTGGCAGAAAGCACATGGGACCCACTGTCCTGGCCCCAGACACTTTTAGTCGGGTTCCATCTCCTTCCCACTTCCTCCACTGGCCTGTAATGAAGAGTGGCGAGCCCTGAGCAGGAGAACTTGGGAGAGCACTGCACAGAACCTGGTGGAGAGTAAGAGAATGGTGAGAGCTGCCTCCTGTCCACCAGGGGGCAGACCTGAGGTCATGGGGGGATCCCCATAGGGCACCTCCGCCCTTCTCTGTTGCAGTGCGGTCCTCTGAAGTACCTCACTGTTGTTCACAGTGCTGTTGTTCACAGCCGGTGAGGAAAAGCAGTGAAACCCAGGGTGTGCACTTAATTAATCATCCCCAGGAGTGTGTTTAGAAAGCTGGGTTTTCGTTTTGTTTTATTTTTTCTGTTTTTTTGGTTTTTCAAGACAGGGTTTCTCTGTATAGCTCTGGCTGTCCTAGAGCTTGCTCTGTAGACCAGGCTGGTCTCAAACTCACAGAGATCCACCTGCCTTTGGTCTCCTGAGTGCTGGGATTCAAGGTGTATCCATCCCACCACCATCTGGCTTGGAAAGATGGTTTTTAAATTTTAATTTAAAAAAAGCTCTGCCTCCTTTAATCACAGGGTCTTACTACATAACTCTGGCTGGCTTGATACTCAGTATGCAGACCATGCTGGCCTTGAACTCACAAAGATGTACCTGCCTCTGCCTCCTAAGTACTCAGAGTATTCCACTATGCTTGGCTTTAAAGAAGAATTTTAAAAGTACACAATTGAAAATGGCTTCTGTTAGAGAACAGGTTATAGATGGTCTCTGACCTTCCCTCCCTGCTAACAACCATTTTCCAAACTATTTGCAAGGACAGTAATGATTTTTTTATTTTTATTTTTTTAATTTTTTAGACAGTGTGGTGGTTTGGATATGCTTGGCCCAGGGAGTGGCACTGTTAGGAGGTGTGGCCTTGTTAGAGGAAGTGTGTCACTGTGTGGGTGGGCAGTGAGACTCTTCCAACCACGGGAGCCAGTCTTCTGCTAGCAGCCTTCAGATGAAGATGTAGGTAGACCTCTCAGCTCTGCCTGCACCATGCCTGCCTGGATGCTGCCATGCTCCCACCTTGATGATAATGAACTGAAAGTCTGAACCTATGAGGCAGCCCCAATTAAATGTTGTCTTTGAAAGAGTTGCCTTGGTCTTGGTGTCTGTTCACAGCAGTAAAACCCTAACTAAAACAGACAGGGTCTGTTATGTAGCTCAATCTGGCCCTAACCTGAACTCCTCCTTAGGCACTAGGATCGCAGTGTGTACCACAGCTGGCTACACAGTATTTAATAGTAAACTCTCTGCTTGCAGTGCTGGGCGGTGAGTGCCAGGGAAGCACTCCCTCCTGGCTACACTCTTAGCCCCACCCTCCCTCCCTAGCTGGGCTTTCTTTGAGTCTGTGCTCTTCCTCAGAGCTCCCTGATTCTGGGCTGCACTTCAGTGCTGGGATCTGCATCCTTCAAGTGAGAGCCACTGATGACAGGGATAGGGGCAGGAAAGCTGAGGACAAGGAGGAAGAGAAGGACATCAGACAGCTCAAATAGCTACCTGTGGTACTAGAGAAATGATCTGTGGAGCCATAAAGGAAGACACCCCAGGGGTCAGTTTACTGAGAAGGAGATTAGTAGCAGATTAACTCCTGGGGTGACTGAGCAGCCTAGGGGGACATTCAAGGCCAGCGTTTCCAGGACTAAATAGAAGGGGGCTATTAACCCCTTCCCACCTCACTGTGCAACAACAAGACAGACTGACAGCTTCTAGGCAGCAGCGGTATGGAAAGGCTCTTTTCACAGCATCCCAGAGCACAGCAGTCCCAGGGAACCAGCCCTAGCCAGGAGCAGGGCTCCAGCTGGAGGCGGCAGCGGGAGGCAAAGCTCTGTCTATAGGAGCAGTTCTCAACCTGTGAGTCTCAACCCCTTTGGATCAAATGACCTTTTCACAGGGGTAGCCTATCAAATATCCTGCATATCAGATATTGACATTATGATTCAGAATGGTAGCAAAATTACAGCTATGAAGTAGTGACAAAATAACTTTATGGGAGGGGGTCACCAGAACATGAGGAACTGTATTGAAGTGTTGCAGGGTTAGGAGGGTTAAGAACCACTGGTTTGCAGCAAGAGACTGAAGAACACCGGGCAGACACTGAAACTGAGCAAAGTGCTGGGTTTAGCACCTTATTTTCCTTATCACTTCCTTATCAAACACCAAGCACCTGCTAGGCAGACTGCCCACACACAGGAAGGGGAGGGGCGACGGCTGAGTAAAGAGGAAGACAGATCCTCTAAGTGTTGTGCCAAGAGTGGAGGCCCAGAGGAAATCAGGCAGAAAGCACAGGAAAGGTCCCAGAGGACCTCCTGTAGGAGGTAACATGGACACTGTCCTTAAAGGGCAGTCTTCTAGGCACAGAAGGAAAGGGCTCCAAAGCAGAAGAACAGGGTGTGCTGGAGAGACAGGCAGAAGCCTGACTGTGGAGAGGGCTAGCAGCATTTATCCTAGGGCCTGTCCAGGATCCCTAGAGGTCTATAAGGAAAGAGGCACAGCTAGGAGGGTACTTGGATGGCGCTGGACTGCAATGTGTGCTTCAGATTCTAGGCCTGTTTATCCTGGGCTCTGCAGCTAAGGCCTCTTCCCTGTGCACTCCTCCTGTGACAGCACACAGCTACTGCCCACATTCCCCAGGTTCCTGCACACTAGGTGTGCACCAAACAAGACTGGCCCTTGGCACACAAGTGCACAAGGCACAGGGCCTGAGAGGCAGGGAGGAAGCCTGAGGATCCCTGCCTACTCAGACCTAACGCCAGGTGAGGGAAGGGTGCTGGTGACAACACACTCTCCACATCCACTCAGGCTCTTTTCTCTCCACACCTAAGTGAAATTCAAGTCTTATGCTTGACGTTTTTAGATTTGAACAACCTAAAAGCTAAAATCTAAATGGGCAGACCTTCTGGAAGGTTAAATTTTAGATTCCCTAGCAGGCAAGCAACAGAGAAGGAAAATTAAAAAAAAAAAAAGAATTAAATTTTAACCAAGAAGGAAAACTGCCTCCTTACCCTATCGACCTTCATGATTTGAAACCTCTGGGAGATGTCTGCGGTGTTGGCGGGCAGCCGGGAGCGCCCAGATACGAAGCGCATGAAGAGCACCCGCTCCTCGTTGGAGAACTCTTCCAGCGTGCGCCAGAGCCACTGTACCAGTTGGTGCTGCTCGTCCACCTCACGGTAGCGCACCACCTTCTTCAGGACGTCCACGGAGATCTCAGGCATCCCACACACCATCTGTTCCAGCTGTTTGGCCGTGAGGAGGGACAGCAACGGCACAGGGACAATCCAGGACATCCCTTCTCGAACTGCAGCCACCTGTGCCCATTAAAGGTTGTTCTTTTAAACACATGTTTGGTGTAGTAGACAGACACTCATCATGACCACAGGCTGTCTGTTCTAGGCCTGAGGTCTGCAGCCAGGGCCACCCCTATCTGAGTTCCACCCTGCTCTAGGGCTCCTACCGTCCTAGTCTCAATTCCAAGTCTACATAAGAGCCTTCCTTCTCTCTGCACAGAGTTGGAGTGCCCGAGCCTCTTCAGTGGCCACCCCCTTATGTTTCTAGTTACACACAGCTATGCGCTGTTAAAAGTGTGCTGCTGACAATTTCCTCATGCACAGAAGGAGCTCTTGAGGACTGGCATGGTATAGATGGTTACTCTTGTCAAAACTGTGTCTATTGCAAGACAATGTTTGAAAAGCACAAAGAATGCACAATAAAAAGTCAATAAAGGCAAAGAAATTTAGTCAGAACATCTGGGACACACCACTTACGATCATTTTAATTTTCTCACATGAAAAATGAGGTAATTATTGTTTACCGTGAGTAATGACAAGATGATCTGGGTCGTGTCTCCAGGACCCATAATCACCCTGCTTCTCTTCTTAAAGCACAGGGAAGCTGGGGAGCTGGAGAATGGAGGAAGACGCTTCAGCCCTCTGCCTCTGTGGTCCAAGAGGGCAACCCTACCTCAAATACTTCTCTCTAGGCCAACTTAAAACCATTCCTGATAAAGAAAACTACAAGCCTCAGAACAGAAGCAACACCCTAGGAAAGGCCCTGAGGTTGTAACTGGTGCTCTGATCACTGTGCCTGGGCTGAGGGGCTGCCCAGAGCATCCCTAAGGTACTAAGGGACATAGCCATGCTACAGAGTGTCAAAACCAACCCAGCAAGGCCAGGAAAATGGAAAACAAACACTGTTTGGAAGCTGAGGTGTGAGGTAGCAAGGAGATGACTGGGGACAGTCACAGGAAGAACATTCAACTCTACAGGATGAGGTGGAACTGAAACCAAAGGGACAATTCCCTGAGAGAGGAACACAGTGGACAGTCAGCTCAGAGGAATGGCTGGCAGAACCATCCTGCAGTGAAGCCTGCCTCTGGATCTTGGGTCTGTAGTAGGTACATTCTTATTTTCTGTAGGTTCTGTGCTTCTGTGAGTGGATGACAATAACCCTTATTTCCCAGAGCACCCAAGGAAGAAAACTGCACATAGTGAGGCCCGGCATGTGGCAGGACCACTACACTATGAAGATTGTCAATACTCATCAAGGCTGAGGACGCAGCTCAGTGGTATAATACTTGTCCTGCACGGCACAATCTTAATCCTCAGCAGATATCTATCTCCTCCTCCTTCCCTCCCTCCCTCCCTCCCTCCCTCCCTCCCTCCCTCTCTCACTCCCTCCCTCCCTCCCTCCTTCCCTCCCTCCCTCCCTCCCTCCCTCCTTCCCCACTTCCTTCTCTCTCCCCTCACTCCATCATGACCTAGACACAAACTCTGAACATTGGCCCTCTAAGCACTGTTACTGACTGAACTAAAGAAAACAGTTTAATAAATGAACTGGTCCCAAAGCCAAACTCAAAGAAGGAACCAGGAGTGAGGGATATGGAACTTGAAATAACTGAGATATCCAACATAACCTAAAAATAAAACACTGAAACTATTAACGATTTTATGGAAAGAACCAACTTCGGACACATCAATTCCTAGGGTCACTGATTCCAACCCCCATCATTAATTCAATGCTTGTTCATGCTTCAGCACTGACCAAGGCTGACACAAATGAAAAAGAAGATACTCCTCACATGCAGCCTTTCAAGCAGACTGAAGACACAAGGCCTGAATGTCCTTAGGCCACCACATGCACAGTGATATGAGACAAGGGGAGTGACTCCAGAGTGAGGCAGGACTGTCAAGGAGGTATACTCCTAGCTATGGCTCGAGGGTCTGCACCAGGAGGAGGAGAGGCTCCTGTGAGGCTGTGAGACCAGGTTTAGGGCTCAGTGATGCAGCGGGCGTGGGCACTGTGTGGGGAAGTAGTTAAGGGATGTAGGCCAGACAAGTACGTGGGGAGGAGTCAGGAGACAGCCTTATATGACAACAGTCAATCTGGAGCTGATTTAAGGATGTGGGTAGTAAGAGATGTCCTAAGAAGTCTCTAATAAGGTCTGAAATAGAGATAGAAGTGAATCCATTATGGATGGCAAATAATGCTCAGATCTGGAAGTAATAAGTGAGCTTCTGTCTGGACAAATGAAAGCATTCTAGGCTACCTCCTGCACCATGATAGTTCATCTTACCTGCCGGTCCATCTCATGAAGTCGATACTCAATGGCCCGCTCCACGTACTCCTTCCTATTGGAAAATGTGAGCGGGATACTATTTCCTCCAGGGATTATGGGAACCATTTTCCCATCGGCACTCTGGCCAACAAAAGAATCAAGAGGAATCATCTAAGAAAAGAGAGATAAGAAACTTTACTACACGGTAAAGAGGATTAGAAACGGCACGTCTCACACACAGAACAGTAACGAAGTCAAGGCCTCAGTTCTACAAAGACGGCAGGCCAGGACGACTGACTGCTCAAGACCACGCTGACTCATCTGCCAGGTAAAAAGAGGCACATCCTTGTCCCAAATCAGGTCTGTTGTGCGCTGGCTACGCAGGCTTCCCTTCCCACTGGGTGCCCTGGTGTCCACTCTGATGGGCAGAAACGTTAAAGTACAGGAAGCAGAGGTTGGGGGCTGGAGCCGTTCTACAGACGAGCAGCTCCCTGGACCACTAAGACTGAGCTACCAGGGCAGCTCGGCCCAGACATGCCAAGGCAGGCTGACAGAAAGAGGTAGACAGCATCTGACTACACAGAAAGCTTCTGATGGAGAACAGAGGAGGTCAGCAGTTACAGAGGCCCAGGTGTGCCAGCTTTACCTCATGGAAACTTTCTTCAGTAATGCCGCTGTCTTCAATGTGAAGGATGCTGTTAAGGGTCTGCACATAGAGCAGATCCACTTCCTCCAGGTCCTCTAGGGTGAGCGGGACACAGCACAGCTGTTTCCACACCAGAGGGGCCAGGTGAAGGTCCAGAGGCTTCTTTGTACGAATGGCAACCCCCATTAAAATTCCTAAGAACTTAAACTGCATTAAATGGTCATCAAGGCAGGCAGAGGGATTAAAGAGGAACCTGTGGAAGAAAAGTCAATCTTTCAGCTGAAGATTCTTCCCATTAGGAACAATTCCCACAACGAGAGCAACAGACTAGACTTGTGCCGTTGAACCCGGCAGTCGTTAAGTGCATGCGGCTATGTGAGTCTGAACACCCGCTGCCCCTCATTTTGGTTTCATGGGCTGAAACTGGGAGGATGAGCTGTCAGACCAAGCTGACCACGCTCCTGTTCAGCTCCTCAGTTACGCTAACCACATCGGAGTGTTCACCAAGCTACACATGACTACTGTTTTGGACAGCATGGGGACAACATTCTGAATCAACCTGTGTTCCCCCCCCCCCCATGTATGTGCTTATATCTGTAAGACAGAGGTCGAGAGCATGTGCATGGGGTGAGAATGAGCAGGGGTGTGTGTGTGTGTGCGCGCGCACGCGTGGGTGTATGTGGTAGGTTTATGAATATGTAAAGGCCAGAGGAGCACAGTGATATCTCTCTACTGCTCTCCACCTTGTAGTTAGTTCTGAGCCAAGTCTCACGATGACTGCTGGTTGAGCTGAAACTCTGTAAACAAACCTGACTTCAGACTCACAGGTATCTGCCTCCTCCTACGATTAAAGGTGTGTGCCACAATACCTGTCTTCTACGTTACGTTTTGAGACTAAATCTCTCATTAAATGTGAAGTGCGCCTGCTTTTGGCTAGGTTAGCCAGCCAGTGAGCTCTCAAAATGTGCCTGTTTCAGTTCCAGGTACAAACAGCTTTACCCAGGTTTTAGGTGCTGGGGATTAGAACTCAGGTCCTCTTGTTTTCAAGTGCTCTGGCTTACTGAGTCATCTCCGTGGCTCATATTTTGTTTCTGTTTTATAAGATAGAGCCTTACTACAAAGCTCAGGCTAAGGTCAGATTCATGATCCTCGTATCTCTACTCCTCAGATGCTGGGCTTATAGGCATGCACCCCCACACCCGGCTATACTTAGAAAAACAGTAAGAGCAAGGAAATGGCCGACTGGCCTCCTGCTCAAGAATGCCCCACATTCTGCAATCATTTCACTTATAACTTCTAAGTCTCTAGAGCAAGATGAAAAAAAATTAAATTGCAAATACAAGGACACTGGTGGATTGTGAACAAATAGTTTCATGACAAGAATTCAGCACAGCGCCCTAAATGAATCCTGGTACAAAGAGGCTCCAAAGCCTGGAGAAACATAAGGTGGCCAAGGCTCACAAGCGACTCAGAGTTTCCTCTTCCCTCTGGATTATCAGCAAGCTGTCCCTCAGTACTGAGTGAGGACAGCAATGGCTGTCTTTCACCATGACAGGGGCTGGTGAGTGCACTGCCTCAGGTAGTAATGAGGACTCAGTGGAGAACACATATGAAGCACTGACAGCAGGAAGCACTCAGCAGGTGGCTGTCATTATTAAGACATTCGAGAAGCATGCGTGACTTACCTGTCTCTATTGTAACCGACTTCTGCAGTAGCATTAGGAGACGGTATAAGAAGGTCAACTATACCAGTCTCAAGTTCCTGCAGAAAAAGTGTTATGTTGAGAGGTGACAATCAAATGTATCAAGAGAACAAACTACATTAAAAATAATACTGGAAAGGAGATATCTTGAGGAATTTATAATGCTATACTTCAGTAACTTCTAAGTTTAGTTATTTTTGTGATTTCAAGTTAAAGTGAAATATGCAGTCCTCCGTGTGAGAAACCTGAAGAACACAGAGCCAGCATGCGAGGGCACAAGTGAGCAGCTGGGGAGCTATGTACAGCAAGCTGTCTCAGCAGAGACAGCCAACTGCTACTCAAGCCACAGGGTTCATCAGACAAAGGAGAAGGAACAAAATTAATCTCCAAGCACTTGCTACTATGGCTTCTAAAATCAGAAATGGTCCAAACTCTTTTTTTTTTTTTTAAATAGTTTTAACTTCAAAAAATTTATTTACTTGTATGGGTATTCTATCTGCATTTTGTCTGTGTACTGCATATGAGCCAAATCCTCGAAAACCAGATGTGGGCAGTGACGCCTCTGAGCTGAGAGCGGGCGCTAAGAAGCTAGGCTGGGTACTCTGGAAGAGCACCAAGTGCTTCTAATCACTGCAGTATCTCTCCAGCCCAGTCTACACTCGTTAACACTCATTTTTCTATTCTTCTAGAGCCTGGTGGATCCACGGTGCTCTAGAGCACGCAGTGGTCCTGCATCTGTCTCCTCCATGTGTTCATGTGTCATCACTGTTTCTTCTAGCGCAGCATAATTAACAATAATCAGTGACACCCAAGCCACTGATCTTGACGTGCTAAGGCATCTCCACAAAACATCCCCAGCTCACTACAATTCCCTCCGTGGCACTAGCGGCATAACTGAGACTCAGAGATGTGCCCGTGCTGTGCTGACAAGCACTGGCAACAGTCAAAACGCCGTTCACAGAGAGAGCTCAGAAGGGACACTGTACACGGGTACCTGGCACATTTCTGTGATAGTGTCATCAAACACTCCTCCAGCATCATCAGCTCCTTCTCCAACTAGCTTAACCTTCCATGCTCGGGAGGGCAGACGGAGGTCTGATGCATTTAGCTTTACCACTTGTCTTGCTATTTGAACAAAGATGGGTTTACACTTCCGTCCTCTAAAAAAAAAAAAAGAAAAAAGGAAAACCACCACCACCAATAAAAAACATCAGGAGTAATGTAACACAAGTCTTTACCTCCATAGGTCGTCACAAAGACCCTTGGTGACATTTTCCTATCAGTGAACAGACATGGGGACCAGAGTGAGGGCTGTCACTACTATTTATAAGGGTACACAGAAGCTAATGCACACAGGGATGAGTTAGCCGTAATATTCTAAACAAGCCTAGCTAGTTAGTGAAACACACATGACCTACCTGGTTGATATCCTCTTTACAGTAATCTGAGGCCCATAATTTTTGCCTTGAACCATGGTTTTCCCTATGGAGCGTACCATGGGGAGCGTGTAGACTCTTGGAGCTAACAGAGGCCGAAGTTGTCCCTGTACAATGCCCCATGTTCCAGCATTGTAATGAGATGTGCTGTTCTGTAGACAACATAAAGAGATCAAAGATGGCATAATACAAGACTTAAAAGAAAAAGTACTTTAAGATATAATTTCTTTCTGAACTGTCCTTTAAAAGCATAGACCTGAATATCAATTGCAAACAGTAACTTAAAAAATTATCAATAAAATGTGGTTACCATTTTTTAAGTCTTAGAAAATACAGAAAAGGGAGAAATACAGACATGGTATCCAATCAACCATAATCCATCCACATAAGAGATAACCCTAACTCTTGATAGCATGCATTGCTTTTCAGTTTGGGTGTGTACACATAAATCCTCCACACTGGGAAATGTACTATTTCGATGTTTCTCACAGGGCTCTGGACTTGACATCTCTCAATCACTGACAACGTGTGGCTGACGGCAGCCTAGCAGAGCAGAGCATTCTCTGCCCGTCTGATGCCTGCTGCTAAAGAGACGTCAATCTATCCCTTCCTCTCATAAGTGCTGATCCAAAGGTTCTGCCTGAGAGTTTCACAAATGGGTACACATTTTGGCAGACATGCTTACTTATTAAATAACTGTTTCTCCTTAAACGTGGAACTACTTATAAGACAGACAGAACAGACAAATTTACTTTATTTCCCCGACTTTCCTTTACTAGGCTGAACGCTCCTTTGTGGGGAGAAAGAAGTCCTGTAAGCGTCTCGGCTGACTTGATTTTTCAGCACCCTGCTCTATGAGCCTTCTAGTGCTGGGTACTTAGATTTCCCCCTTTGTTTTTCCAGGAGTAAGATGGGACCCAGGTGCCTGTGTAGGCTAGGAAAATCCCTCTCATCTGGCTACATGCCATCCACTTAACATCATGTATCAAACTGGACAAGAGCTATGACACGCTCAGTCACCCATGCTTCCTCCAGCTCTGAACAAATCAAAACACTTTCTGTTCACATGTTCTCAAATCAGCAACACAATGCAATTCCCACCAGTGACACAGAGCATACCACAGAGCATGACACATTAGCCATGAGAGAAGGTTTTAAAGGCAGAAAGGCTCTGGGACCTGGCAAGTACACCATGGGTACCACTTCCCAGTCCAGCACTTTACCTGGTTGTTGGGGCTGAGATTGAGCAGTCTCCACGATGAGTACATGAGGTCAGAGAAGTGGTAAAGCAGCCGGAGCCTGGCTCGCACAGTGTGAATGCTCACTTCTCTCAGCGTCCCATATTGTGGGGGTACTGCGTCAGGCAGGCCCAACTGGAGAGGCACTGACACACCTGCCCAAAGCACAGAAGCGCTTGTCAAGGAAAATGCAATGCTTCAATTATAACAGTGAACACCAGAGAATCACCCAATGGATACCCAATCCAACCACTTACATTTTATACTTAATAGTTTGCTATATATACTGTTCTACATAGGTATCTATCTATTCCTCTACCCATTAATTCATCTTCTCTTTTTGGATGCTTTAGTACTTGTGAGAGTTTGATGAGAGTGACCCCCAAAGGCTCACAGATTTGAATATTTAGTCACCAGGGAGTGGCACTACTTGAAATGATTAGTAGGTATGGTCTTGTTGGAGAAAATGGGTCACTGGGGGGGGGGTTGTCTTTGAGGTTTCACAAACCCAATTCCAAGCCCAGAGTCTCACTCTTCCTGCTGCCTGCAGATCCAGATGTGGAACTCTCAGCTCCTCACTCCAATACATGTCTGCCTGTGTGCTACCTCGAAAAACTGTAAGTAAGCCACAATTCAATGTTCTCTTTTATAAAAGATGCCATGGTCAGGGTAACTCTTCATACAATAAAACACTGACTAGTTTTTATAGAGAATACTAGTCTTTAAAATTTAAAAGAACAAATATCATAACCCTAGCAATGGTACTGCAGGGCAGTAATTCCTGCACGAGTTCAAGACCATCCTTGGCTACATGCTAAGTTTGAGACCAGCCTGGATTACATGAGACCATCCCAAAAAATCCAAAACAATGAGACAAAACAAACACACACAGAATTAAAACAAAACAAAAAAGCCCCCCAAAACAAAAAGCACAGGAAACCTGGTCTTTTCTCCTTTAATTATTTCTGTTTGAATAAGAGACAAAAACAGTTGGGGCAGGGGGCAAATTCTTCCTTTCCTATTCAATAACTGTCAGTCTCATATTAATGCAAATGAGAGGAGGTATTCATCTCCTTCCTGACAGTTAGTCCTTAAGAAAAAATATCTCTGAGGAGTCTTCCCCAAGGACTTGCTGAGAAGTAGGGGGTAAGAAAAACGGAAGGGACCTCTAAGCACTCAGTCACATGTGGCTTCAGAACTTCTAGAACCTTAGACACCACAGGCTAGCAAGTAGAAGATGGGGGGTTGACAAGCAGTAACACAAACATGGGAATTACAATTAAGGAAATGGCTACAGTTGAGGGAAAGGAAAGATAGAGCCAATCAGAGGCCTTGTTAAGGGAGACAATTATGCATATGTTTGTGTATGCATATATGTGTAAGAGGTCATTCCTCAGGGTAAACATCTACCTTGTTTTTGGATACAGGATCTTCTTCCATTGGCTTGGAGCTTGTTGATCAGCCGGGCTGGCTAGCCAGTGAGTCTCAGGGTTTGACCGTCTCTGCCTCCTCAGCACGGGGATTACAAATTTACGCTAATACTCTAGGCTTCTTTGTGGACGTTTGGACTCAAATACTGGTCCTTATGTGTGTGTGGCAAGTATTTTGGTGAGTAAGCTCTTTTGTCAGCTCTGCCTTATATTTTCAGGTCTTTTTTTTTTTTATTGACTATAATGATTTTGTAATATTTTTAAAAATTTTAAAACTAGAAGCAGCCATTATTCCTATTCTATGGAATAAAATGGCAGTAACTAGACTTGTACTGAGTCACTGAATAAACATCATGTTTCAAATGGCTACTGGAGTGAGGAATAGTGACACCTCAGAGCTTTTATTTTATTTCATTATTTTTTCAACACAGGGTTTTCCTATAGCAATGGCTGTCCTGGAACTTGCTCTGTGGACCAGGCTGGCCTTGACTCTGCCTCCTGAGTGAAGCACCTCCACCCAGTCTGCCTCAGTGTCTTTATGATAGTAAGCTTATAAAGCAATTGTCATCTTTTTGTTGGTGTTTTTTGAGACAGGGTATTCCTACCAGACCTAGCTGTCCTGGAACTTTCTATGCAGATGAGGCTGGGCTGGAATTCACACAGATCCCTCTGCCTCTGCCTCCCAAGTGCTGGGATTAAAGGTGGATCACCGTGGTCAGTTTTATCTGTTACTTTTTTTTATCTATACAAGTATATTTATACCTATCTATATAAGTATATTTATATTTAGTAGATGCTCTAGTTTAATTAATTTTTATTTGTCTAAAAAACATACTGATTTCTATGGAGACTGGAGAGAGAGAGAAAGAGAGAGGGCATGAAGCTTGAATATACTGAAGTCTGCAGAAGAAATGCCTGATATGAAATATTTATGGTGCTTGTAGCACAAAGAATACTTCAGAAGTCTTGACAGTTTTTAGACATGCTGGATGCAGTCAGAACTGCAAGCAGGGAGTGAGTGCATCACGGCACCACTGAAAGCAGAAGAGCAGCTGGAAGAGGACAAACGGTCTGTCCCTCACCTGGTGCTCTTGGTGGGACAGGTGGGGCTGTCCATGCAGCACTGTGGCACCGGCCAGCTGAAATCTGACGGATGTTCTTCCCTTGCAGAACTGTTACCAGGGTTGGTTCTCGAACGTGGTTGGTGTGGCCTAGGCCAAGCTAAAAATAAAAAAGCAAATGCACAGAGGTTGAAGAGGCAGAAGGCAAGCCAATAAAATCTATTAACACCTGTATTATGCACCAACATCATTAATGAATAAATTCGGGCTGGGGAGATGGCTTAGCAGTTAAGAGCACTGACTCTTCTTCCAGAGGTCCTGAGTTCAATCTCCAGCAACCACATGGTGGCTCACAACCATCTGTAATGGGATCTGATGCCCTCTTCTGGTGTGTCTGAAGAGACAATGTTACTGACATATATAAAATAAATAAATCTTAAAAAAATGAATAAATTCTGATTTCTCTATTATAGTAGTCCTTGTAAGTTCAGACTGTTTCCTGAAAGAAAGGGGCAACAGGACCAGCCAACTTACAGATTAGTCTTAACAACTGGTCACACTCTTAGATTCTTGGAAGAGGTATCTTGGAAAGGGTAGGAGTTCTTTTTTTTCTTTTTTACATTTTTACTGTCATTGTTTATTACTGTTTGGCTACATTCTCTATAATTCTAGCAGCATCTTAAACAGACAGTGTGTCTATGTACAATGAAAACAAACAAACAAAATGGTTTGCAACACCAGGTAAGAGCCACAGTTTAACTGTACATGTTAAGGGATGTCTGGCAGGGATAGCTTGTTTTCTGCACCATGGACAACTTACATGTAAGTCTCAGCATTATGAATGTGACAATAAAGAAAAAAATCCTTACAAGAATGAAATACAGCATCCCCAAAAAAAATATTGGCTTCTACCACACGAGGCAGTTAGAAAATGTTCACATTTTAACAAATCTGTACAAATCACAAGAAACATTCTACAGGTCTATCATCCCACCTTGATGCTAAGAACTTTCTAGAAATGTAGAATAACCATGAACAATTTGTAAATCTAGTTTCTATGTGTTCCACAGCTCTAGAAACTAAAACACTGATTTAAAGAACTCAATATGCCCAACATGGATCATTTACATGCCTTGACTGTTAATGAGTGCCTGCTTTAATATCTCTCTAGGAGGTACAGTCAACTTGTGCCTTGAAGGTCATTCAATTAGGAGTTCTTGTTAAGTGAAAAAAGAAGGCTCCCCAGAGCTCTTACTTAAAACACATTGGTTTCTGGGTAACAACACACAGACATAAAATACACATGGACTCCAATTCTCTGTTCTTGGCAGCAGCAGCAGCAAAGTGTTCAACATCAAGGAAGATCTTGTCAAAACCTAACCAGGGAATTCCCCAAATTCACCATTAATTCTCCTCTCATCAAGATGACTGCAACCCCAGCTTTCTGGTCTGCTAGTGCAGTTATGAGGAGAATGTGAGTGCTCACTAAGGCTACTGTGAATAACAGACCTTCAGCAACAGGGTCCCTGACTCTGTGGGCAATCAGACCTGAGATTATGGGAGGAGGCGAGGACGGCTCTGCTTGTAGGCTCAAAACCACTGTAGAAGCATCAGCCTCCGTCATCTCCTACCAAGTTCTCTGTTCCATACACAGACAGAAGAACACAGACCTCAAGTCTTTTCACATTCTCTTCACTTTCATTCCTGCCCTTACCTCTGTGACTACAGGGGATGACAAGATTTCTTGCACAAGCAAAGGATTCTCTGGACACTTATATTATAAAATACAAAGACATTCTTACAAATATACAACATAGTCAGATTTCAAGAGTATGCAAGAGCAGCAAATATGACATTTACCTGCCCTTCTGAATTGCTACCCCAGGCATAAACATCTCCAGTTGATGCCAAAGCAAGTGTGTGTTCAGCTCCAACTGCCACATCTTCAATGACCACTCCAGCCAGGACAGGGATTTGTTGGGGTCGATTGTGATTACGAGCACGACCCTCAGGCAGGCCTATCAATCGGTCTGAAGGACAGCAAGAGGAAGTGTTATGGATGGTACCCTGACGTTTGTGTTTTGTAACAGGCCATTAACTTTTTGCATTAGAATGACATTCATGTACATAACACGGTGCAAAACCTGCTATTCCAGAAAAATACACTAGATTTCAAGTAACAAATCTGAGGCTATTCCTGTATGAAATGTTAGTCTTTCTATTTATAAAGAAAATTAAAACTAAAGTAATAAGTCAAGCCGAGAGGCTTTTCAATACTCTTATATTAAAAGGACTGACATATGTTCAACACGGCCTTCAAGTTTCTTGTGTTCTTAAAAAGAATGCCATTCAACCTGCTTTAGCCTCAAATTTCTACCCCACCTCTCTCTTTACCCCTGTTGCTTAATAACCTCCAGACCCATTAGGCATGGCATTTGCCATCTGACTTCCACTTGTACGGCTGCCCTAAAACTTTTCAAAACCATGAGTTGATGCCTGCCTGGTTGCTGCGGTAGCCTCTCAGATTCTGGACCCTGGGAATGACATATAATCGTCCAATAATATGGCCTGAGCTCCCCCAGTTCCCTGGAGACTCTCACTATTCTCACCAATATTCTATTCAAATTTTTCTGCCTAACATTCTCTAGAGTTCTACTCACTTCTTCATTCTACATGTTCTCTGGTATTCTTAAATCAACAACAAAGTTCAACCTATTACCACTATGTGATAGTGTCAGTGTCCTAACCTAGATATGCACACTGAATCCCTCTGGAGTCCCAGAGACAAATTCCCAGTAACCTGCTGGAGATCTCCATACACATATCTAGAATAGAAGTCCCTATAGGGTGGCTTTGATCTAGACATAAAACGGTCCCAAAGGCTTATGTGTTGAAGCTATGGACCCAAACTGGTAAAAGCTACTGAGAGGATGCTAACTTCATCAATGGATTCTTCCACAGCTGAATGGCTACTAAGAGCTGGAACCTGGTTGGAAGAAGTAGTAATCAGAGGCATATCCTTCTTTTCTTATATTTATTTATTCACTTAAAAATATTATTTATTTTGATTTTATGTACATGTCTGAGTACCTGTACGTTTGCCTAGTGCCCCCGGAGACTAGAGGAAGGTGTTGAATCCCCTGGACTCAGAGTTAGAGATGGCTGTGAACCACATGGGGTGTGTGCTTGGAACCAAAGTCAAGCACTATGAAAGTACCAAGTGCTATTAACCACTGAGTCATCTTTCCAGCCCTTTATTTATTTGCTGCTGCCTCTTCTCTTCCTTCTCCTCCTCTTGTGTGCACACATACAAGCTATACTATGTATGTAAAGGTTAGAATTTTTCTTCTTTCCACATATGAATTCTGCAGTGGAACTCATGATGGGCAGCAAGTATCTTTATACATGGAGCCATCTTGCCAGCCTGGGGACATGTGTTTGAAGGACGTATCTTGTCTCCAACCCCTTCCCCTTTCTCTACCTCATATCTACCATGAGGTGACTAGCTTTGTTCAGCCATTCTCTTCTCCCAAGAGAGTCTGTTTCTTCATGAACCTAGGAGCACTGGAACCATAAAACTACACACTGACCCTTCTGCTTCCATGAAACAGAATAACTTTTCTTCCATTGTGTCAGGCACTTTGTCATACTGAAGAAAAAGCAAACTCACACAATAACTACAGCAAGCTCCTTCCCTCCTGAGTGAGCTTATTCGTTACCCAGAGGACTCAGTGCTCTCCCAAGACAGAAACTCTAGTCATAATTTACTTCCTTTCTCACGCCACCCTCAACATCTCTGCCTCTACAGCCTGACTGCAGCAGAAAGGAGAAGGCAGAGCTGTCGGCAGTGATTCTTTCAGCAAGAGTGAAGGCTCTCACTTGAGATTTAATGGAGGGGACTTGGTCCTTGAAAATAATTTCATCAAATAGAGGTGGAGAGTAGCAATGATCAAGGGTAATGTGGCAGACACCACTCAGAACGCTCTGTGAACCTAGAAGGCAAACATTTTTTATAATGTACATGTATAGAAAGTAATGTAGGCTAGAAGATACCTTACCTTGACCAAAAGTATACACATGGCCATCTTTAGTCAAAGCCACAGAAAACTGAGTTCCACAAGCAACTTTTTTAATTCCAATTCCACAGAGGACATCAACTTTCTGTGAAATAAAAGCATAAAGTATATGTTTGGAAGGAAAAAAATAAACAAGCAAAAATCTCTTAAACTTTACAACTGGCATTTATAACATTGAATACTGTCTTCAATAAAAAGGCGAATTGCTACTGACTTGTCTTACCCAAATTGTATTCCTAGAGATTATGTTCTCCTACTGTTCTGGGCAGTAACTGAGTGTGTGGGAGAGAACACTGAGGCTCAGGAAGTCTGGCTGACGTTCTCAGGAACTTGTAAAGTGGAAGCACTCCACTGAGCAACAGAAACCACAGAAAACCATGACCTTTGAAACAACACTGCAAGGTCCTGTAGACCACAGGCAACTTCCTGTCAGTCTGCTTTCCTGTCAGCTTTCCCACGTGACCACAGCTGCCTTCTACAGTCCCCACAGATTATGTTCTCTGCTTTTCTGTACCCCTACTGAATATTCATCAAAGCAACTATTAACATGTCACAGACCATATATAATAGCAAACTGAAGTTGAAAACAGTTATAAATCATGTTATGCTATTTAAATATGTAAGGAAAGTGCATGCAGCAAAGCTGCACAGGACGTCTGCAGAACCAAGAAACCTAAACTGTGAATAACAGTTCCTAGTTAATTTTAAAAGTACAGTAGTACTTAGCTCATCTGCAGACAGAAGCTTATCCTTGTGGAATGTTTACAACCATTTAACCTTAGTAATGGTTTTCTAAAAGTCAAGATCTAGAATGCTGGATATTTGAGAATAAGCAACTGAAGGCCTTAAACTTTCATTATGAATTATAAAGATGTCCAAGCTAAAGCACTTCCGATGTAAAAGAGGTACTGACGAAGAAGCAACCCCTCATTTCTGTTAAATACAAACTGAGAGTCAAGGCAGTAACTGACCTGAGGAGAAGATTTTGCAGTGGAATTTCCTAAGCCCAGTTTACCATAGTCCCCGTCTCCAAAGGCCCACACCATGGAGCCATCTGCCGACACTGCCAAGGTGTGGTTCAGCCCACAGGCCACCTGTCGAAACAACGGAGTACTCGGTGAACACATCATCTGACCTGAACACAAACTCTGTTTCCAGAACTGTTCTCTCTTCTTGACTGTATACATTTCATGTGTTGTTTCCCAAGATTCTTACTGGTTTTGGTAAGTGCTCCAAAAGTTAACCCAAACACATCAACTAGAATTCCCAAGATCCCTAAATAATTCTTTTCTTCAAAGTAAAATCCTTCAAGCATTTGTAGCTGACTAAGAACATAAAAGTAGAAAAGGCAGGAAAGAAGTACATACGCCTCAGAAATACTCATTTACTACAGAGGCTGTCTCAGCGGTAACGTAGGGAAAAATCAAGAGATCTTACCCATTATTGAGAAACACTTTCAATGTCTTCATGCAGATGGAAAAATCCAGCTATCCAACTCAACACTGACACACAGGAGCAACAACAAGGCTGTACTGTGTAAGGGCAGTCTCGTGTGCTTGCTGCTGCTTGCTTGCTTGTTTGAGATGCAGTGCTGATAAACAGCCTAGGCTAAACTTAACCTCTAGATCTGCCTACTGCGGCCTTTCAAATGCTCGGATTACAGGGGTGTGCCAACACACCCAGCTGCTAGAAAGACTTTATACAGCAAGTTGTTGGTAATAATTTATGGATGGTGTTTTGTTTTGTTTTGTTTTTTAACAGTCACATCCAAAACTTAGGGGCCAAAGCTGTGAATTTTTCACACTGGGAAAAAAGTCATGGAATTATAAAGTATGTCAAACAGAAGGTACAGAGGTTAAATGCAACTAGCAATTCTGGTCTTTCTGACTGACAGAAGAATATCCAAGTGGAAACAGAAAAGGTAAGAAATTACTATCAACTAAAGCATCGTATTGACTTATGCCATGCCTGTCCAATCTGATATCCCTCCAGTGCAGTCACTCTCTCTGGAAGTTTTTTGTTAGAGGTGTTTCCAAGACCCAGACGACCATAGTCACCATTCCCAAAGGTAAAGAGTTTGCCATCTGATGTCACCACTGCTGAATGCTTGAAGCCACAAGACATCTAGGACAGAGACAAGGAGACAAAAGTTTGTAAGAAGGAAGACTAGGAAGGAAGCCGTTCACGTTTGACTATGAATGTAGCAATATAACTGGCTGACAAGTGAAGAACAGTCGTCTCCCTGCTCACACGGCCCTCCCTCCTCATCTGCCCACACGGCCCTCCCTCCTCATCTGCTCACACGGCCCTCCCTCCTCATCTGCCCACACTGCCCGCCCTCCTCATCTGCCTAGCAGGGTCAGAAAGACCAAGGAGACACGGGAATAACTGTCATCACTCTTCTGGCTGTGTACACTGACATAGACTGAAGGAAACAAATGAGTGGGAAATTTATAGTAAACTCTGGGGTGCTATGTGATTTTATAATATTATCTTAGATCACCAGCAGATCTAACACACATGTACATCCATTTGCAACAAAAAGGAAAGGTTAAACGAAAACTTCCCACTACCTACCAACAACTGTAAGGTAGGACCTAATCACACGCAGTTTTTTCCAAGAGCATGCAGCATCCTACCCTGGACCAAGTCTGCTGGCTTGGAAAAGTTCAGTCCATTCTAATATTAAAATCTATTTAATTTCTGAAAAGCCCAGTAATGAGCCTACATAAGCAAAATTATTGGATCTCTTATTCTGCCCATGGAATCTGTTTTTATACTATTCCTGCTAGCTAAACTTCAGAATGCTAGTTAATAACTCTGTACTTAGGCAAACTTATGAATGCTGTGCCGGACCTGTACCACTTCTTCTCCTTGTAAGGCCTCAATCTGCCTTGGTCGCCGCTGTCTGTCGCTGTTTCCATGGCCAAGTTTGCCATAGTCCCCATCTCCCCAGCTAAAGACTTCACCACTTTCTGTCAGGGCCATTGAGTGCCCATCTGAGCCACAGGAAGTCACCAGCTGGGTCACCACAAAGCCTAGAAGACAGCAGAAACACAAGAGGTCTCAAATGGTAAACTGTCACTCTTGCAGCTGCTAGGGAATGCCCTACGATTTGAAAAACATCAAAATGGTACTGTAGAATAACAAACTTTTTAAAATTTTAAATCAAATTTATAGACATAGCCTTGCATATCTGGGAACAATCATTCAAAACAATGAAGACAAGGGAGGACATGGACAGCCATCACAGCCTCTAAGGCTGGCATTCTAGCCACTCCTGTAAATGCTTAATCAGGATTCTTTCATCTTTCTTTCCACATACATCTAATGGCAGACATTCCCATTTTCTACAGCTACAGAGACAAGGTTCCAGAGCCAGGGGCTAGAGAGAACTGGTGGGAACCCTGCCTGTGTTCCCACCTACACTGCAGCACACTCTGACCCAGTTCTGCAAGAATCTCCTGTGAACTTACTGGTAAGCCTTAGAAGTATTTACATTTGTGTTCTCCATGAACAAGTGTGCTCATCTTACAGCCTGTAGGCCAAACACATCTGCAGCTAGCTATGGGTGTGACCTAACACATCTGCAGGTAGCTATGGGTGTGGCCTAACACATCTGGAGTTAGCTATGGGTGTGGCCTAACACATCTGCAGGCAGCAGTGGGTGTGACCTAACACATCTGCAGGTAGCGATGGGTGTGGCCTAACACATCTTCAAGTGGCTATGGGTGTGGGCTAACACATCTGCAGGTGGCTATGGGTGTGACCTAACACATCTGCAGTTAGCTATGGGTGTGGCCTAACACATCTGGAGTTAGCTATGGGTGTGGCCTAATACATCTGCAGGTAGCCATGGGTGTGGGCTAACACATCTGCAGGTGGCTATGGGTGTGACCTAACACATCTGCAGGTGACCTCATATCGCAGTGTTCAAAGGCTGAATACCCCTTATTGTAAGCTTTGTGATCCAACAGACCCCATAGCACTTTTTATTGTTCCTTTCTAAAGTGATGTAGGACTCTGCCAGATGCCCTTTAAACTCTTTAGCACAGCTGGAAATTTTCATGTGAACTATTTGTTATGTTAATGAAACACACACACAACTACCTAATTACAGTTTAACAATTTTTTTTTTTTTTTTTGGTTTTTCGAGACAGGGTTTCTCTGTATAGCCCTGGCTGTCCTGGAACTCACTCTGTAGACCAGGCTGGCCTCGAACTCAGAAATCCTCCTGCCTCTGCCTCCCAAGTGCTGGGATCAAAGTGTGCGCCACCACCTCCCAGCTCAGTTTAACAATTTTAAAAACTCTGTCATTTTAAAACCTTTGGTTTTCCTCTGATCTCAAATACATATATGCTGCCAGATTCTAGCACTCCTGCTTGTGAAATAGCTTAAAATGTGGAAATTACAGCTATATATATCACCTAACTAGAACCTACGCATAAGCAAACTCCATGGGTTCACTAAGTGGGAAACACTCCAGTGGACGCACACATTCCTACAGTCAGGTCACAGTCTCTATCTAACCTGGCTAAATCCAGGGCAGCCTCACCTTGCAGGGCTGAAATAACAGTCAGCACATGAAGGTCATCTGAATTTCCTTGCCCCAATCTGCCATAACTTCCTTCCCCACAAGCCAACACTGTCCCATTGGCCTGGATGACAAAGGTGCAGTTCTGACCACATATAACCTAGGATAAAACACAAAATTAAAAACACTATCCTTATTTGAGTCAGGCATAAGCAAGATACACTGTGTACATGCATGAAATTATTTAAGACTAAATAAAAACATTACCACCTCACTACCTTTATTGTTTAACATACAGACATTTTAGGTGATCCCATGCACTTGAGGATATCTCTACCAGCTCTTCATTTCCTTTGTACAGCAGAAAAACTGGCCTACCTGGGGCTCCCCTATAACCTTTGATTACTATACTTCTGATTACAATTAATATGAGGACCATCTGACTGAGATACTTCAGAACTATGAGATTTCAGCTAACTGTGCACAGTTAAACAACAACATAGATAAGAGAAGAAAGAGGAAAGGATTTAGGAAACTACTATTTCTGGTGGAGAAAGAGGCAGAAATTGGAGGGGGCACATGGGGAAAAGCAGTGAACTCTGGGACAGCTTTAGGGAGACGAAAACACACAGATGGTTTGGGAATACAGTACCATGACTATTAGGTAAAGGAAGGGGTATCAATAAGGTGTGGCTAAAGATCCTAGGTAGATCCTGGTTCCCCAAGAGCACAGAGATTAACAATTAGCTCAGCTTCCATAAATATACACTGCACTGGCCTTTTATACGGTGACATTAATTCACTATACTTGGAAGCAAGAACATTTTAGAAAGTGCTTAATAAAATGTCTTACGTACAATAAAACCTTGGGGGTTTTATTTGGAGACCACATATAAAATGAAGTTCTTTAATGATTCACCACAATAGACTACAAAAGTGACAAGATTCAACCCCAAATAAGTCACTGACAGCAACTAGAATTCTCACATTTCTTCTCTGCTCTTCACTCTGCTAGTTACCTGTTGGGCTTGTGAGAAAGAAGGCGCTGTAGCTGGTACCATGACATTTCTTCCAGCTTCAGCCAGTTGTCCATGTCTGCCAGCACCCCATAAGTAGACATCACATTTACCTCCCAGGTGCCAGTCCTAAAAAACCCACAGGCACCTAAAGTTAGGGTCATCTAGTTGCTCAAACAAATACATACCGACCACAAGCATGTGACAACCTCTACAGAAAACAGAAGGACACAGAAACACATGCATTTACAATCAAAAGACTGACTGAAACCCACCACATAGTAATCCTATCTTTACTGACCTCAGGTCTGGAAGTTGCCCAAGACATAATTTGTTCATCCATGCCATTGATCCACTTGCTGTTATCCTGTAAGACAGAGCACACAACAGAAACAATGATGCTTTGTCGGGACGTGTCTGCTCTGTCAGTGACGCTCCCTTTCTAAAGAACATGGTGACATTATGACACGTCAAGAGGAGCTGCTCTTATTTTCTTTTTTTGTTTTAAAAAGACAGGATCTTGCTATGTTGCTTCAAACTCTAGGGGTCAAAATTCTCTTACTTTTTCCTTCTAGGAAGTTGGGGTTGGAGGCATGTGCCATCCCACCCAGCAAGTTCAGTATCATCATAATTTCAAATTTGCTTTTTGCAGTCTAATATTTACTTTTACTATACACACTTTCATTATCACTGTAGCCTAAGTTCAAAGCTAACCATGCATATTTACTGAGCACCAAGGGGTGCAAGGCTATGTACAAAATCTACTGCCTCCCTAGATTCTTTGTCTAGCTTGTTGGGTAGGTCTTGTCATTGTTTTGGGCTTCAGTTTCCATATCTGTAAGATGATATTAGGCCAAAATCAGGTTCAAAAAGAGTTGTTATACCCTGTTCTGTTCTACATTACTGTACTCCTCTCTATTCCATTCTTTGTATATGGTGCTGGTTGAGGACCAAACTCAGGGCCCTGTACATGTCAGGCAGGTGTGCTGAATATAACATTCACAACACTATGGAAGACACTTCTTGATTAAAATTATGTATTCAGATGAATTTCTTTAATTCATTTATGTTTTAAGTTGTATTTACATTTTTATGTTCAAATGTTTGCAAATATAAACCTTAACTAAAGTTAGGTCAGGTGCTGGCTTGTATCCCCTATACTGGCATCTTATGGTCACCACCATTTCTATAGCTGAACACTATCAACTACAGTAAGAAAGAAATGACTCACTGAATGCTCTTCTGTGATGCTGATTACTAATATGTTTTAAGTGTGGACTAAATCAGAATTTCTATGTGCCATCAATCTCACAAAATGACCAAAGGAAAACTAAACATGTGTATGACTAAGGAACTTAACAAGCACCTACAGATGAAGAAAACAGGAAAGCATGGAACTGTGTATGGAGTCAGGAGAGTCAGAAAGGCTCTGTCACCAGAGACTTGAACAGTTCTCCAACAGAAGTATATTCCGTTTATCTAAGGTCATGTCACTAGTTAGTCAAGTCAGCAAAGGATCTGTGGCACACCAAGCAGCCAGGCTGCAACCTCCACTACACAACAGCAGTGCACCATGCACTTACCATGAGGAGCACTAGCTCATCCTCAGGAACGGGCTCTAGATCTGGGACAGTAAATGACTCTGGAAACTGGGCTCCATTAGTCAGGGCTTCTGCAGCCTTGATGGTGGTTGAGAAGCATTCTAACCAGGCCCACTCATTGGGATTCCAGGATGCAGGGTCAGGGAGGCAGTTCTGATGGTGTGGTGGCACTGGAGGGCTACACAACAGCTGATCCAGATGAAGTCCCACAGCAAGGGAAGCCAGACATTGCATGTAGGGGCTGTGAACAAGCTGGTCACCACAAACTACATGAGGCTAAGAAAAAAACAAAAGAATGTCACGTTGAGGAAGAGCCTGTGTCAGATATTCTTAATAGATTTACATTGTGAAAGCTTATGGAACTAGTAAAGAGATATGCACATATTCTTATATTATATAATATTGTACATATTATATGTTAGAGGAAATTGTGTATATATATACATACACACACACACACACACACCCCTACCTTACATAATCACATTGCATTGATAAAAACTAAGAAACGTATTCTGGTACAACATTAGCTAAACTAGAGCTTTTACTTGGTCTTACTACTTCCATCCTTTTTTGTTCCAGAATCCAATATGGGATCATATGAACCTGTGTCTTGAGTACTTTTCCTTGATTATGAACAAGGTAGATAACAACTAAATCACATAGACCTTACTCCTGTCATCAAAGCTAAGTCCTCTTTACAGCAGCCTTTAACCATGGCAGAGCCAATCTATCACAGAGACCATGGACATTAAATCCAAGCATATTCTTCAGTTAAATTAACTGGATAAAGAGTGAATAATTATATGAAAAGGAATGTATCAACACTAAAAATTTTGGGGTTACAGTTTCATTTTACTCGAGTGAAAATAAGGAATGAACTTAAGATTACTGAATAACCGCTTAGGTACAATGACTCCTGTACAGATAGCTGCACATAGGTCCCTCACACTTCATGTCCTTGGCTGGTTTGTGGAGGAGATCCAAATTTCAAAGCACTAAGCACTGTGGGAGTTAGGACCATGAGTTACCTTTTCATAGGCATATTGCTCTTGAAGCATCATGGGGAGTCGTTCCAGAAATGCTCTCATGCAGGGAGCCATATTTAATCCCAGAACACCCTGTTGTTTCAGGGCTGTCCTACAGGTTGCTAAAATGTGATTGGCAGAAGCCCACTCTGCTGTGCAGTTCACAACCAAAACATCCTGGTGGAAAATAAATCATGCCGTATGATTAATCTGTTTATATAAATGATTAAAAATCATGCCATCACCACTGACCCTGAGAAATTCTCTCCAGTAATTGGATTAAATACTTTTCCTTTTTACATATTAAAGATGTCTACAGAAATTTTAAAACATCTTAATTTTTTTCTAAGTAAAATGAGTGAATAAAAAATAAATAAGAAAGTGTGAACTACCTTAACATATTTTCTTTAAAAGCTATCAATTATCTGCCAGTCCATAGGACTTGTGAGAAGAGGCATGGAGTAGACTTCACACCTGACATGACTACAGGGATACCAGCAGAAATAAAAATAGTTGTCTCCTCAGGAACACAATGTAAAGGTTTCAGAACTCCCCTACTCTGTGAAGCAGGCTTGATGGCTATTTGTACTGCTTAGGGTGCTACACGCTATACTGCCTTGCTTTTTTTTTTTTTAAACATTATGTAAGTATATAAAATACAAATCAAACAGCACACTGATCCTGATATTTAAACATCACGTTGGCTAGCATTCTATCAGAATCTCAAATTTCAAAGCCATAATATATTTTGGATACTTAAATGTCTTTGAATTTTTTTCCATAGAATATCCTTTTGAGATAGTTTAATGCTGTCAAAAATCATGTGAGAAAACAAGAATCTACTTTTGCCTTCCAAGGGAAATGAAAAAGAGAAAAAAAAAAACAAGCACTTCCCAGCAAAGCCCAGGTATAGCAGAAAGGGTATTAGGTAAGAAATAAGCACCCCTGCCTTCTAACTCCCCTCTACCATTGGATAGTTGCATTATCTTGGGCAATTAATAATCTTTCAGACAGTAGTCAGCCCTCTGTAAAAGGGGTAGGGGGTTGGACTGCAATTTCTAAAACTTCTCTAGGCTCGTATTCTATGGTTTGGTGTGTCTGTAATGTTACCTTTGATCTATTTGAGCAGGCAGCTACCCCAACTTCTGGAATCCATACTGTGGTCTGAATCGCTCCAGAGCCTATCACAACAGTTTGCAAGACAGAACCATCCTAAAATGAAATATATTTATCAAAATTCATTTCTTGACTTTAGGCATTGTTGCCATGGTATCTGTTGCTTTACATTCACGAAATATAGATTAAAATTATAACTGAGTTGAATTCAACAACATTCAATTTGTAACCTACTACCCACTTTTCACTTTAAACTTACTTATCAGAAAGACACCCAAAGGAGAGAAGATTGGCTCTTTTACAGTAGATGATTCTACAGGAGTATCTTTATTATCCAATGAAATACTTAGGGTTGGTTAACTGTTATTATATATGACCCAAACTAATGTAAAATATATTTTTTTAAACAAAAAACAACTTGTGTCCTTACCCTTAAAGACCAAATGTTCATAAGCCCTCCAAGTCCACCAGACACCAAGGCCAAGCCATCAGAACTGAAGGCCACAGTCCGAACGGGTGTGATGTGTCCCCGCAGCTGATAAACACACTTGACTCCCGCTGATTTCCTATAGCCATCCTACAATTCATTGGTTTGATATATATTAGTTTAAGAATAATTTACAAGCTCAAGATTCACAGCTCACTCTTGGAAATTTTACATTTGAGTAGTATGAAACTGGAGATTGAGACAGAGATACTTTCTCCCATAAAGTTACTTAACTTGATGAACAACAATAAAGCTGACTCTGTTTTGATACTTTTAAAACTAATTTTCTGTTCTTTAAACAAGCAGAAATTACTGCATTCCAAAGTTCCAATATCTGAGACAGAAAAAAAAAAAAAACCCATGACTTTTGCTTGTGAACAATAGTTTTATTTAAAAAATTTAACTTTGCCGGGCGGTGGTGGCGCACGCCTTTAATCCCAGCACTTGGGAGGCAGAGGCAGGCGGATTTCTGAGTTCGAGGCCAGATTGGTCTACAGAGTGAGTTCCAGGACAGCCAGAGCTACACAGAGAAACCCTGTCTTGAAAAAACCAAAACAAAAAACAAACAAACAAACAAAAAATAACTTCATGTAATTTTTATTTTCTCACCTAACACTTATGAACTACATGTATTCACTCTATACAAATAGGTTTCCCTATTGTGGGCTGATGGTTCTGTCTGATAACATCATGCCTGTTGGTCCAAGAATGGTGTTGTGACAGTAGAATCTGAGTGCTTGTGAGAAAACTCCAGAAAAACAAGACAAGAGTCTTGTGACCTCAGTTTCTTCAAAACGCAAAACTGTTCTTGGAATGTGCTTTCATGTTCCTCCCGGGTATAGCAGATGGGAATGAGTTTACTTCAGATTATTCATTACAACTGGTAATTGTTATCTGCTTATATGCTTCAATGGGAAAACATATTCTTGCCATGTGTGGCTTATACAAATATACTCAGGTGATTCTTCTTAACCCTTGGAGCATAGATTTTTCTGATACTCTTGAATAAAGGTGGTTATTGTCTGTCTCATTTTGGGGTCCATTCTCCCAGGCTCCATCACCTTCCAAGCAGTTAAACAATGTCCAATCAAATATTTGCTCTGCCAGGTTCTGAAGTGAGAAAGCTAAGGCTAGTGCACAAGGCAACTCACGTGGACCAGGTCTAAGTCAGCTTTACCTTTACTGATCTCAGTTCTGCTTCTGCAGCACCTTCCTCCTGTCATTTAGCTGACTACTCCTTCCCTTAAGACAGAAGCTAGTACCAGATACACTCATCTTCCCAAAGGCCACTAAAGGGAGCCTCTTCAAAGGGTGTTTGTATCACAGACAAAAACTCTAGCTCAGAGATTCAGTTCAATCAGACACTCATTTTTTTAAGACTTATAAAAATGCCAAATATTAGAATCTAATTATTTTGAGTGTTTACTTAAAATAGTATGCGGTTTGGCTTCTATTTAAAACAAATAGCTATTTTGTTACCAATAGTCTTAACTGTAGGGGGGTTACAATCAGCTGTGGCAGCAGCTTAGCACTTTATATCAACACTTACTAAGTGGGGTTAGTAACTGAACTCTGAGGCGCTGAAATATCTGGCAACAGTAAAAGGTTTCTGAATACATCATAACCAAAGCTGAAACCAAGTACATTAAAGAAATGCAATGGTTTAATTATGAAGAAACAAAGTCTTTTTGTATTTTCCTATTGTCATTCCTCAGCAAATATCAAACTAGTGTATCTTTGGGTTGTATTGTGTTTGAGTATTTGATTTTAAGATCTGCAGTTTAAGGCACGAAGCAAATTTTCATTAAAAAAAAATCTTTTGGCTAAGAATTAGGACAGGATTTCCAAAAATTTTTGAAATGGTTCTAAATGGTTGTAATAAATATTTATGCAAAAGTATTCTTAGTATTGACAATTATAAAATTGAAAACTGATCAAATCTAAAAAACCACTGAAGATGCTCTATATCTTTCACTATCAAACACTCAACTGTTTTCTTTAATGTAAATTAATTCTTTAATGTAAAAAAAAAAACAAGCACATGTATCCCATAAGTATCTATTTGCTTTCCTCTTTAATAAATGAAAATATCAGATGTATACTAAATCTTTCTAAAATAAATTTCATTATGATTTTTTAATCAATGAATGTTTGTTGTGCTCACCTACTTTATGTACCCACACCAGGCTGTGTAAAAGTCTCTTAGAGGAAGAGCTTGAGAGTGGGAAACGTTTAAGAAGTCTGGTGTGAGACGAAGCATGTGTGCTTCATGGGTGGTTTTTGTCTATGCTTTTGCTACTCCATACTTCCCAACTCCCAGATTCATGAGTTTGTGTGTCTTGTCTAGATGCTTTTGTAAGTATCAAGCTTGAGACTTTTCTTTCAAATTAATCACTCAGTGCAGGTGAAACTCTGACACTGGGAGCAGACACTCTGGATGGGAATTCCCACTGTCACTCCACGGTACCCACTCCACTCAAGATTAGTACATTCACAACACCCATTTTACTCACACCAACATGATCACCACTTACCATGCGTTAAATCCCTCACTGTAAGCAAGTTACATGAACTTAGGGAGCACACAATTACAATAATCATTTACAGCCCTGTGGATCAGACCTTCAAGTGTAGGAGTAAAGGCTTCAGTGAGGAGTTACTGTACTATGGTGTCAGATAAAGTCTTCAACAGTCACACATTACCTGACAACTTGATTCCTGGTCCCACCATCCTTCTGAGCTGCTCATACTGGTCTGTGTGGTATCTTGAGGAATACGCCAAACACATACTAAGCCATTTTGACAGCCACTTAAAAGAAAATCACAAAAGGAGAACATACCAAATGAAAATCTAAAAATCTGTCCTTTATTTCCTTTGGGTAATTTTATGGCATTATATATTATAAAACTAGGAATAGACACTAGATCGAGATTATTGGAAAGTCATACTATTGCCAAGTAATAGTCTACACTACCATAAAAATCAACACACACACAAATTTATAACATACGTGGCCATCAATAACTGCATCTTGGATCCTTTCCCTGGAAGGCTGCACCAGGCGATGCCATTTACAGTGGATGGATGACAGAGTGAATGTAGACAGCGCCAGCATCCTGAAACAGGCCCCCAGAGTTTCACATTTTCTTCTTTGGCACATGTCATAAGAATATGGCCTGTTGGGTCCCATTTCATACTAACAAGAGTTTCCTTAAAATTATAAGGAAAAAATCAGAGTAATACTCACTTCACAGTACATACTTTATATTCATTGGTTTGTAGATGGTGCTTCTATAATTCAATTGTATTAAAATTAAGATTTTTTTATATGAATAAGATAGTTCCATATCATCCCTAATCTTCATCAACTTAATCTTACAGTCTACACTATATAAGTTACTGTAAAGCTAATAAATAAGTTATAATAAATTATGAAAATATAGCTCTGAAAAGATATCACATCTTTCTTTTGCATGTGTACATACCGAATCATTTTATTGACTGGTAATCATTACAACGTGAAAAAAATGGATCCTTCACCCCAAATTACCGAGCCTGCTTAGGAGAGCCTAGGGCACGCTTTATGTTTACATGTTTTAGTAACTGTACTTTTCTGTATTTAATTTTTTATAATTTTAATTTCTGCGTATGAGTATTTTGCCTGCATGCATGTCTGTGCACTATGTGCATGCCTGGTGCCTGGAGAGGCCAGAAGAGGGCACAAGAACCCCTGGAGTGGGAGTTCTAGATGGCTGTGAACCACCACATTAAATACTGGGAATTGAACCTGGGTCCTAAGGAAACCTAGTCAGTGCTCTTAAACTCTGAACCATCTGTCTAGCCCTCTGTGTTTTTTTTTATAACCCTCCTTCCACATCTTCCTGAGTCCTGGTTTCGTGCATTTGTGTCACTTGCCTGGGTGGCCCTATAAACACCAGAACTGAAATTTGCATCAGTGGATGTTCTGGCATCAGTGGGGACACAGGGCAGGAGATATCCCCAGGGCACTCCTATCTCACTATCTGGTTTCATTTCTCATGTAGCTTTTTTTTTTTTTTTTAAATGAAAAACATGTTTTCCTGTGAAAACATGGCTACAAAGACTTTGTGTAGTGATAGAATATTAAATCATCAGCAATGCAAAATATAAGATATTTCCAAACCACAATTTAAAAAAACCACAAAAAACCAATGAAACAAACAAAAACAACCATGGAGAAGATGGCCGTTACCTTATGTGCATCAATGAGAACAATGCCTCCTTTCTCAAGTGGTTCTTTTGTTCCCATTAACAATTTCCCATCAAAATATCCTACTGCAAACGGTCTGTCTTCACTGAACCAAGCAATGCAGGTGACAGATACTATGGTGATAAAAATACAAGAAAAGAATGGGTTTATCACTATCTAGATACCTAAGTAGATGCTTTAAAAAAAAAAATCTGTGCTTCGACCATCACAGCAAGAACATTTCTACACAGCTATCCAATTAGAGTCTGTAGCATACAGCCAGTATAACCCAGTTTGAGAATGTCAGTTATGAGTGAAAGAAATGACCTCACTTGTAACATTTGTTTCCCAGGAGGTTGTTTAAGGAAGGAAGGAAGGAAGGAAGGAAGGAAGGAAGGAAGGAAGGAAGGAAGGAAGGAAGGAAGGAAGGAAGACGGACAATAACCATTAGGTTGGTCTTAAGGCATTGTACCATGTTCTTCTTTTGAGAAAGAGTCTACTATGAAACTGAGAAGTGAAGTAGCCTAAGATATGGAAAATCACCTTGTTGTTTCCTTCTGATATCACAGCCAGTAGTTCCTAGGCTCTCAAGACTGTCTATCCTAGCCTCTAATCACCAATGCTTTTCTGTATACTTTAGGTCTGAGACGCAGAAAATAGTACCTAGAGGGCAAGACAGGATCGGGGAGCAGATGGGAATATTTTCCTTCTACGCCTTTTAAATTTTTCTAACTTTTGAACCCTCTGAAATTATTGTCAAGATTTTAAAGGTGGATTGTAAAATACCCAAACCCCAAAACATGACAATTGTTCCGTCAAATAAGAGTACCATACGAATCAGCACTGTGACTCCTGAATTACTTGACTCCCTCAAGTAACTAATAAAAACTGCCAGTAAGACAATGATGTACTCAAAGGTACTCAGTAAGAAAAAACCAGAGGCAAACTCTGTGTCATCTTCTGAGTCCAGGGACCTTCCTTCTCCACCTTCCCCTATTTCCTTATCTACTCAGGTGTGAACAACTTGTTTCTACCAATGATTCCCCTATTCTATAGCTCTAACTTTTAAGGGATATTTGCATCCTGCTATAAACGTTCAATCATTCACATAAAGGATGAATAACTAATATGGTGGTGTAACAAAGTGAAATTTCCCTTTGGCAGAGACACAAAATAAGGGGGGGATAGAAAGAGATTTCAATCCAATTACTAATTAAAATCAAATACCTAGTGGAAATATTAGAAAACAAACCCAAAGTAACACTCACTCAGCATTTACATTCAACCAAAACCCTCTTTGTCTATCTGTCTACTTTCTTGACTAGTAAAATGTCTTACCATCCTTTCGATAGCAGTGTTCCAGTTCTCTGCGGTGCATAGTCGACACATCAACAACTTCAATCAGTCCGAGAGATCCATCCATCCGTCCCACCAGCAATAACTCTGGAGACTCTCCTGACCAGGCTGTAGCTGGACCTTCTTCTGGCCAAGCCAGGGCAGATACCCAGTGAGGCTGAATATCTACTAATCCTTTTCCTCCTACAGAGGGAGAAATGTTGACTCATTGTACTCTTAAAAAAATAATATGTGCCAGGAGTAGTGGCACACATCTTTAATTCCAGCAATCAAGAGCCAGAGGCAGGTGGATCTCTGTAAGTTCAAGGCCACTCTAGTCTACACATGCCATATAGATAAAGATGATATAAAGATAGATAGATAGATAGATAGATAGATAGATAGATAGATAGATAGATAGATAGGTACATCAATCCATCCTTGGTTGGCATGGAATTCAGTGAGGGATAGATATACCTCTCAATACATATATCTCTCCAAAAATAAGAATAAATAGAAATCTCAGAAAAGAATAAGAAAAATACTATTAACTAATAGCTAATGCACTCTCCAATTCACAATAGCCTGTGAATCTAAAGGTCTGTGAAAATAAGATCTTATTCATGTCTTGCTTATCATTTAAGTCAATAGTCCGTAACTACTTACAAAGAACTTCTAAAGATGACAGAATAAAGGAATAAATTTAGTAGCAAATGGTAAACATTTAAGTGCTTTCGTATTGCTGACAAGTTGTCATGTTTCTTTCCCAAGACACTGGGAGAAGGCTGAAGGCAACATCACTAAGGCCCTTCACTTCTGCTTTGAGTTTACTTGCGTTTGACACAGGCATCACAATGTAGTCCAGGCTGACCTCCAACTTCCAGCAATTCTCCTGCCTCCACCGGCCAAGTACTGAAATTCCATTGGCCATTATGCTGAGTGACTCGTAATAACTTCTGAAAATCCACTTGATAGGAATAATTTACCTCCAACTAGGACTAGCTAGCTACTCCTCTACTATGTGAATGACAACAGCCATTTCTTAAATATGTGAAAATAAACAAAGGATAGTAAGCCGACAATTACAACAGTATTTTTTATCCCCTAGAGAGATACAATAAAACTGATAAAGGGTGACTGAGGTGGCTTTGTGGGTAAAGGCACTTGCTCCTGAGCCTCATGATCTAACTCAGTCCTTAGGATCCACAGAGTGGAAGGAGAAAACCAATGTCAAGCTGTCCAACCTCCATACATGCACCCTGGCAGATGTGTGCACAGAAAGAAAGACAGAGAGAAGGAAAGAAAGAAAGACAGAGGGAAGGAAAGAAAGGAAGAAAGAAAGAAAGGAAGGAAGGAAGGAAGGAAGGAAGGAAGGAAGGGAATAAAATAAAGTGTAAAACACCTAATAAAAATTTTTATCTCTGAAAGAAACATAAATGATAGAGCTACTCCAAGTGACTGAAAATTACATAGATTAAAAAGGCCTACTTACTGCTGCATTAAACGAAGTGTTGGATTACAGAAGTAGGTAACTGAAACCTCCAGGAGGTGCATCCTGTGCAGTATTTTCATAGAACAGTTCGTGGATTTCTAGGTTTTTTTGTTTTTTGTTTTTTGTTTTTCAAGACAGAGTTTCTCTGTGTAGCCCTGGCTGTCCTGGAACTCACTCTGTAGACCAGGCTGGCCTCAAACTCAGAAATCCACTTGCCTCTGCCTCCCAAGTGCTGGGATTAAAGGTGTGCGCCACCACTGCCCAGCCATGGATTTCTATGTAAAGAGAAGCCAGTGCTTCCAAGACTAAGTGAGAGGGAGGCTGAGATGCACCCACCACAGCTGCAGGACTCTTACCATTAACTTGCCAGATGTTCACCATCTTCTCCAAAGCTCCAGCAAGGTATTTACCACTGATACTCCAGGAAACAGGTGAGAAGCTTGGGTCGCTGGGTGAGCCAAGGCTTTCCTCAGCATCTCCTTCCCTAAAATGCAACAGATGAGTATGTAATTTCCATCCCCACTTCTAAATTTAGTAAGCTAGATTTCAAACCTTGAAGCAAGGGGTACATACAGACTATTATCATAGGACATTCTTAGTCAACATTATTTGTCACCATAGAGAAAATATCAACTATGAAAGAACGATGCTTTCTTTGACTACTCCTCATAATTAGGACAGAATCTTTCAGCTAAGACCTTCAGGATTGATATGGGTTGTAGACAGGTACTATTTAGAGTGTACTGATTTCTGTATGCCAAATTTATACAGAAGGTCTTAGAAAAGAAATGCTTGTGGAAAGAAACTTCACTAAATTTACTGTTGGTGGGGATGTAAATTAATCAGCCATTGTGGAAATTAGTTTGGAAAGTTCTCAAAAATTAAAAACGTTAACTACCCTATGGCCCAGCTACTTCACTCCCAGGCATATACACTGAGAACTCCATACTCTACTACTAGGATAGCTATACTCATATTTACAGCCTTTTTTTTTTTTTACTATAGCAAAGAATTGGAAACAATTTAGTTATCTATCAACAGATGAGTGGGTAATAAAAATCTGGTGTATATATAGAATGGAATAATATTCAGTTCTAAATAAAAATGTATCATAAATTTTTTAAGAAAATGGATGGTCTTAGAATGTATAATATTAAGTGAGGCCAAACAATCTCATAAAGAAAAAAAACCACATGATTTTCCTCATATGTGGAATCTAGTCAATAATATACATTTGTATGCACACAAATGTATGTGTGGGTATAGTACAATCTATAGAAAAGGGAACAAGAAGATTAAATATTAGGAGATGAGAAAGGACTAAATGTGGGTAACAGCATGAGTTATACAGAAAGATACAAAGCCAATTATGTTTTAGTTCTAACCCTGTTGTGGAGTTTCCATTTTTCGGTTTGATAAGCATATAAAAATATATTCAGTAGTGTTAGTGTAAAATCTAGTGCAAAGCTTCACAGCTGCTGTTCTATGTGGCTGTCTGATTGTACAGGAGACGCACAGGCTTTAGGCTTAGTAATTTCAATGTGTGACTTTTTTGAAAATTAATTAAATCATTTTTTTAAAAAAGAAATACCTACAGCTAGCTACAGTACTATCAAGATGCAACATGTTGACACAAAGCAACTATTCTAATTCATAACCACTAAAGACTAATGAAAATTAGTATACCGCTTGAGATAACTAAACATGCATTTGCTAATAAGCTCTGTTCTAAACATAATTAAGTTTTATTTCCTGAATTACTACCATGGAAAGTTAAATACACATTCTAGAGATTTAGAAATATTATTCTAAAAGAAAAACTTTTAAAGTTTTAATGAGAATGGACTACAGTAACATAACCAAGGTGATGAATACCAAGGATTGCCCAGTTTTACGGCAGCGGAACAAGCACTCACAGTCTATTGAACACACAGGTCTGTTGTAGAGAGTATTGCTTCTTGGTAACATTCCACACCCGAATAGTGCCATCATTGCCACTGGTAGCCAATAGGCCTTTTTTATTACACCAAACACATGTCATTACCTAGAAAAATTAAGAGAGATAAGCCAAGCCAAATTTTAACTTAAAGGACTTCATCATTTGAAGTTCTATAAAAAAAATTCATGATATATATATATATATATTTTTTTTCATTTCCTAAATGCCTTGTCAGTACCTATTTGAAGTATAGCTTTAGAGTACTATGCTCAATCTCCCTCAAATTACTTAAGACATACTAAAGTCTTTTATAAACTTGCATTTTCATCTCTATAGGGGAGAACACACAGGCCACAGAGAGCATGTTGCAGTCACAATCGAGGGAGTCCGTTCTCTCCTCTATTATTAAGCATATTATCTATTATGAATGGGTTCCCCTTGGATCACAGCAGGCTTGGTGGTAAGCACTTTTACCCAATGAGCCACCTTACCTAGCTCCCTGTTAAAATTGTCTACGCATTTAATTCCATAAAGATAAACATCTGAACAGGCTGGGAATGACCCCAAGAGGCAGAGCAAGCTGCTGCACACATTCTCACATCCCTTCCAGAAGGCACTCCTGTCAGTGTGGATTTCCTAAGGGACTGAAGATGGCTCAGTGGCTACAGGCCGATATTGCTCCTGTAGAGGACCCAGGTTTGGTTCCTAGCACCCACACTGGACAGTCGACAATCACCTGGAACTTCAGCTCTGGGGGCATCTGATAACTCTGGCCTCCATGGGCTCTGTACTCACATGCACAAACCCTTTCTACCTTTCTACACACATTAAAAAAAAAAAAATCTAAAAAATTTTAAGCATATATTTTTAAAGTAATACAGACTATGTAGTGATTTTTTTAAATTGATTAATTCATTTCAGTACTTGCTTCCTAAAAATTCAGGGCCTACTAGATTAATCAGCTACAATATATCAGGTACTTGTTGTATAGGTAAGCCTTTATCTTTTACGAACTGACTTCTTCTTCCTGTTAACCCACACACAAAGAAACTAGAATTAGCAACTACGAGGTAAATCTTGGTAATCGTGTATATGCATGTGAGAAGAAGAGACATAGAAAGAGATACAGAGACCTACACTCTGAGCAGTCAGACAGGTAATTAACACACTTGATTTCAAAATACATACTCTGTTTTGATGAGCCTCCAACTTGATAAAAGAGCATTTTCTGAGATCTCCTCCCATATCAGCCAGTGTTTGTGGAGCCGTTTGGTTGTCACGGTCATGTGCAGCAAGAGTGCGCACGAGCTGTTGAGCAGCCCATTGCCTATGCTGTGAGGACAGCCTAGAGGAGAGGCAGCAGGCTGCCAGGGCATTAGCCAGCTCCAGAGGGCCTACAGCAGAAGGATCATAGGAAGGATGGGCATACAATTGGGCAATAACACCTGCTTAAACAAAACAATGAAATGATGCCCAGGTGAGAGTTGGTGATGATGAACAAACAAAAATGGGTTAACCCATTTCTTTTATAAATTAGCTTTCATAAGCAATCATTTTACTAAGATTATGTATATAAGATATAAATCAAAGTCTATAAAAATCTGATTCATTGCAAACTAATATTATACATCAATAAACAGTCCTTGCTCTAAGTACTTAGACTGGAAATAGAGCAGACATAATCTTCTGGCCCATGTAAAGGCAATGGGCCCTTAAGAATAACAACCTAATGTCTGCTGCTTTAAAAAAAAAAAAAAACAGCTTAGCAAGGACATTATCAGGGCTACAACTCAGTGACAGAGCACATGTTCAGAATGTGCTAGGCCCTAGGTTCCAATACTCAGCACCAAATGCGTAAATAAACAATTTTAAGAACTGAATCTTAATATCTAGTAAAGGAACCAGATCAATTGATCCCAAAGCCTACAACCTCACTTAAAATGTGCTTGACTGAAGTGAACGTTAAATAGCAATTTAAGTAGTCCTTTCAAAGTGTTATTTTCAATACTATTTCTACTTAAATTGTTATTAAAGAACCCTACCATGTATGTTAATTCAAGCCATTATCTGTAATTACACTAACTGGTACATTTTCTAATACTTATTCCAATGTCTGTGCAAACCTGTAATCCTAGCACTCAAGAGGCACAGGAGGATTGCTGGTGTGAGGCTAACCTGGGACTACACAATTTTACCCTATCTTAAAAACAAACAAACAAATAAACAAACATAAAACCAAAAATCAAAAAAACCAAAAAACAAAAAACCAAAGTTATCTCTGTAATTGTTTCATATGCCAAACTTAAGAAACGTCCTTTATTACACATAACAATGCAAAACCACACCTCTGAAGACATGATTTAAATCTATAGAAGACTGTACTCTAACAGTATGAAACCTACCTTTCTTTTCTATTTCTGTCTTATCATAGTTAGGTCTCAGTTTGGCCCCTTTGTCTGCCAATAATGCCACAAGGGCTTGAGTTACAACAAAGTTTGGGGAAGTTACAAGCTTATTTTCTTCAGCAATTCCCCGGAGAAAGCTGGGTAGAAACTTGCGCTGAATGGGATCATCGACCGTGGTGAGATTGACACCTGTTGCAGCAGAAATCAAGTTCTGAAGAGGCAATCAGGACAAATGGTTTAATTTTTACACATTTTTGGAACAAAAGATTTAATTTCAAAATGCTGTAAGAATCCCTGGGAAGACAAAGCGGGAGTCCCTGAAGCCACCTTACCTGTGTACACAGCTGGACCAGCAGCTTTGCAGCACTCGGAGTGTTTGAGGCCAGGCATCCCACTGCTGTGCTCAAGTAGGCCAGACAAGAAATGGGCTTGCTGGCCTTGCTGTGTCCGCCACGGGAACGTTCTGAGGTACTGGCTATGGCAGAAGGGCTGGTGGAAAGACCAGCTCTCCCTGCTGCAGCTAAGCACATTAACCGAACCAGTGTACGGATATCTGTTAATCCCAGAGACTCAAGACCAGCAGCCAGGCTACAGCTGGAACCACTGTCAGGAAAAGACAGACTTCGATAGACCAACAGGTTTCTTAAGAGGCAGTTTTGAACCCCACATACGTAACCATCCTCATCATCAAAAACCCAAATCAAACCAAAACTGTGCCATTATATATGTCCTTATATCAAAATATAAGACTGAAATGATCATCTACACTTTCTTTTGTTAATGAATATTGTATGCACTAAGAGTTATCACTAAATCACTGGACATTAGGAATGTTCACAGAACATAAGCTTTCATTCTGGAAATCCCCATGTAGCCACCCTCTAAGTCAAGAAACAGAACTCTGGCAGCACCTCAGAAGCTTGCTGAGGGCTCCCCATAGCCACCGTGTCTTCAGAAGTAACCACTGTCTATTGTCTAAAGCTATACATTAGTTTAATCTATTTTTATTCTTTATACGAGTTCTGCATAAATACTAATTCACTCTTTAATTTCTACCTAGTACCAACTGAAACAGCTTAATTTCCAGTCTCTGAAATAACAAAAGATATGCAGCTGACTGTTACTAAACTGGCATTATTTGAACTCTGAAAAAGCCAAGTATTAACTAATAAATACCAATAATGACTAAGACTAACCTAAATGTATCAACAACATATTTTGAAACTCTCTCATATCTCCTAGCAGACTCCTGTGTGAAATGTATCGGAAGCTCACTGCATTGCTCGACACAGTAATACTTACCTGACTGAGAGAAGAGACAATGCTCGCATGACCATGGTTCTGGCCAGGAGGACTTGAGCGGCAGCAGTCACCCTCCTTAAAGCCACCACTCGGTCATGAGGATTTGCAAGAGCTGCCGCCTGCTCTCCCAGTGTTACTCTCCCAGAGGAACTCTTTTCCACAGACCCATGGCAACCTGAAAGCAGGGCTTTGTTCAGTTCTCAACAAAGTAAGATAAAGTATCTATACTACTGAACTTTTCTCCCTTGCTTTATGTAGGTTCTAGTCTGCAAAGAAATATAGCAAGACAATGTTTGCTCACCTACAGCTAGTAGAAAATTCCTTAAGATATTAAACTTAAGAGATTTCTAAGTTAATAGAAGAGATTTTCTGGTTTGCCTGACAATCCCATCTTAGTATTCATCAAAGAATTGATACGGGAGAGAAACCTTACAAATGTATTGAACGTGACAAATTTATTACCCATAATGTAAGTCTGGGAAATTATCAGAGATTTCATACAATTGCAAAAATTCAGAAATGAAGTGACTGAGACAATTCTCTACAAAGAAATATCATCTTAAAATTCATTGTGGAATCCTTACAGGAGAAACACCTTACAAATGTATTGAAGGTGTGAGTCCTTTACTTTTGGTCTATTAGAATTTAACAGAGAATACATACACATGAAAATCTTAACAAATGTAATGTATGACAAAATTTATTTGACTTCATTTCAGGTCAGAGAAACCATTTAATAATTTTTTATGAGAAAAGTCTGCTGAGAAAAATGTGGCATATGTTTTATTCAAGGTATATACTTTTCAAAGTTTGAGTTTCCACACTAGAGAATTGGTATGATTATGGAAAACTTTTAAAAAACCTTCATGTAATTGGTGTTCAAACCTTAGATATTGTCAACTATTTATTCTTGGGGAAACTTTGAAAATTTGTCAATGTAGGAAAGTTGTCATTGAACTTTTACTTGTTCACCCTCAAATATTATAAGACCTAAACAAATAGGGTATCCAGAATAGTGTAATATTGTGTAACACTTTCATGGAGACAGAAATAATCGATTCCAAAGTGAAACTAATTTGGTATGTACTACACCCCTCAAATATCTAATAAAACTTACAGCATTCTAAAAAAAAAAAAAGAAGAGATTTTCCATTAAAAACATGTTTGTTTTTCTTCATTCTTTTTGTGTGTCACCTCTGATATTAAGAGATATAGGAAAGGCATAGTTTTTAAAAAGTATTTTATTTGCCTTTATGTCATATATATGAGTATTTTGCCTATATGTATGCATGTGCACCATGTGTGTGCAGTGCCAAAGGAAGACAGAAGAGGGTACCAAATCCCTGGGAACTGGAGTTACAGACATTATGAGCAGCCATTGTAGGAGCTGGGAACAGAATCCAGGACCTTCGTACAAGAGCAGCAATGCTCTTAAACCACTGGCGCAGCTCTCTAACACCAGGAAAGATAGAAATAAAATATGCTTCGAGTGCAAATAAAGAACTAAGTCATTGATAGTCCCAATTTATAAATTTTGGTTGGGGGGGGGATAGGGAGGGCAGGACACATGTGAACTTGCCAGTCTAGCCAAATCAATGAGCTCCAATTTGGTTCAGTGAAAGACCTTGTCTCAAAAAATAAGGTGGAAAAGAATAGAGTTTTTTTAAAAAAAAAACAAAAACAAAAACAAAAACCTCATGTCAAACCTCTGACCTATATACAGTATTCCTCCCCCATCAAATGGCCAAAGAGACTTGCTGGTATGAGGTGGGGCTAAACCATTATTTTTAACTACTTACCTAAAAAAAAATTAAAATAGACAATAAAATTAATGATAATCAGCCTCTCAGCTTACCAATTTGCATCAGAGTCTCTTCCATACTGTTGGTAGCCGTGACCATCGCTACAGATGCTCCCAGTGGGTCACTGTCAGGAAACTGAACTGGTTCTGGCACAATGCGCCGGTCATTTAAACCAAGTGGTCCAGCAAGCAATTCAAATTCTTCTTCACCTGTTAGTTTTTCATCTTCATCAACATCTAACATATCCCAGTCTTCTGGAATTTAAATAAATATATGGCATGTGAATGTAAACACGGCACAGTTCTGCTAAGAGTGATTACTTTAACACAAATCTAGAACCATCTAAAATGTTCAGGGAGGCCCACAAAATGAACACAGCGGCAACTCCTGGAGACCTGAGCAAGCTGCATTCCTAAGGCATGAGAGACTACTGGAAAGGGGAGCGGAATCAAATCCACTGAAAGAAACAGCAAATGTTGTAACTGACCATAGTGGGCTCACCTAATATATATTCAAGCAAATGAATGCTCTAGAAAACAAATTATACTCATCAATTTTTCCAGATTTCCAATCATCTTATTTTTTTCCACAGTTAGAATAGAAAAACTTTAAAATGTTGTATTTTTTTTTTTCCTATTCTGGAAGAAAAAAAAAAAACCCTCCAAACAAATTACCACTCTATGGTAAAGCTGACATTTGAGTTTGGGTTCTTTCTTTCTCCTATGACTCTCAGGTGTAGAATGTTGTTATCAAGCAAACTCAGATCCACTTAGGAAAAGCTCTAGTTAATATGTACATAAACACAAACACACATGATGGTAAAGTTTAGTAGCACATGTTAAGCAAGAAGTATACATCAAAGTACATACAAAATAAGGAAGCTCTCAAAACAAACAACTACCTTCATACACACTGTCCTGCTTGCCAATTAGATCTGGAGCTTGTCCCTTGTACCTGCACCAAACATGAAGAATATTGTGTTTTTATATAAAAGTTAGTACCCAAATGCAAATTAAGTCATTAGAATATTATAAGAGCTCATTAATAAAGCAGCAAAAAGTCAAAGCGTCTTGTGTTATGGGACAAATGCAGCAAACACTACCATTTGCAAATGTTTACAGATCAATGGCTGCTTTACCAAAACAACAATAACAACAAAACTCTAGAGACATTTCTGTCTAGAGACATACCTTCAATATTTAATCAAACTCTGTCTCTCAAAGCACCAAAGATTTAATAGTTGTAGAACTACAGGTTACGTATATAAGTAAGTCTCTTTTATTCCCCCACAGAAGCTCATTTAAACAGAATAATATATTTTTTGTCAGGAAAAATATCCTAGTTAAGGTAACAGAAATATGTTGAAAAACATCCATTTGAAAACTTGATTCTATACCTCTGATGTATAGAATTAAAATGAGGACCCTGATCACAACCTGTCTAGATGCTAATGGTTGACAGAGTCAAACTGTCATGAAGAACCTGCTGTCACGCCACTATGCCTGGGGTATCTAAAGAAAAAAAATCTCCCAAATCCGGCTCCCAAATCTCCTGGGAATGGAATTCCTTGACCTCACAAGCTCTGCCCCCAATTCAGTCAAAATTAATTCTTTACATCAAAGAAGGGGGGGGGGAGGTACAGTTTCTATGTTTTAACAGAGTGAGATGTTCTCATCCAAGGAAGCTGGTATCTATAACACAGTACCTTTCAGAATTTGTAGTCTTGGACTTGGTCTTCAAGGCTAAGTACTTCTCCCTGCAGCTGCCACATAGCAGGTAGTATGGATTTCCACTCCCACATTCACCACCAAACCAGCCATCGACATAGGAGCCATTGCTGCGGTACCCCTGGCGGTTTGCACTGCGCCCACAGCCAGGGTGGTTTCTCTTCATGTGCTGGTTGAAGCTGACGACGTTGCATTCACAAAGTTCACACACAACCACTTCTTCCCTGTCTTCAGATTCACAAACATGCTGTACAAAATGATTTTATACCAAATTATAGTCAATTTAGGGTAAGAGGTAGATTATTTGTGATATAAAACTAACTACTATTTAATATCCTATAGTAGGATATTAAACAATGTCCATTAGTGTTATATAATTTTCTTTCAAATCAGAATTCAGAACACACAATCTGAAGGTGTTCTCTGTTCTTTTCTATTTGCTTAAGTTATAAATAAGATTATTCTGCTGAAAAAGAAGGAATTCAATAATTTAAATCTATCTCAAACCATTAAAAAAAAATTCTCCAGTGAAAACATTTTTTACCTGGCCATAAAATAAGACCTATTGTCTGAATTTCTAAGACACCATTATCATTCATTTATGTCATTAACCTAATCAAGTAGATAAAAGTTCACATTTATGAGCTTTAAAGCTTCCACTGTAAGAATGTAGTGCTAAATAGTATGTACACATAAACCTCCATGAGCTCTGACCCAGGATGAGGGTTATTATAAGACCTGCGCAGGCACTGGTTCCCGCACGAACCTTGCACTGACTAATAGAAACTATGAAGGACAAGAGCATGCACTCAGACAGGAATGTGATTAAAGCAATCATGTTATACAACCCAGCAATGTACTAGGGCCTAATGTCAAGTTTTGAAATTTCTCTTCAACATCACAATGAAGCATCGCCACAATATGGCTCTAGTCATCTAGTCTGGGGAGAGAAGCAATAAATCACACAGAGAAAGCAACAAGAGAGACTTTCTTATCAGTTTGTAGGGATCAACTTAATGCTCAAGCATTAAATCCCCAAACCTCAGGATGAGATGTAAGGCTCTTTCAACTCTAGGCAAGGCTGCTGTTAGTAAGCTGTATGAACAGGAGGGCAGGAAAATAAGTCAGAGCAGCCCCCGCTGCAGTCACACACACCCAGGTAGGCCAATCCAGTACCTCTGGGATCCACATTCCCAGAATATCATTGTCACTGGTCAGGTCTTGTCCAAACATAGCTTCCATTGCTTCATCATCAAGATCAATTTCCAATTCCTCATCTAAATTAAAGTCATACAACGCCCCTGGGTCTTGCTGCAAAGATATTCCTTCTCTCCGACTTTGATTCCTGTGAGCCTGCACAGAGCGGTATAACCCCGCTCAGAACAAAACAAAAAAGGCATTTTATTTGCATGAATAAAATAATTCTATTTCACCAGTTCTTAATTGCCACACATGTAGAAGAGAATCTACCTCAGCTACTCCTTTGGATTCCAAACCATAAATTTCAAATTACAACTATTATATAAGGTATACTATCTCTCAGAAACTTCTAAGTTTAAATAAGTAGTAACTTACAACAACATACAAAAAAATTTAAGATGTCATATTTTTATTGAAGTTATAAATATTATTTATGTCATAAATGTCACCTACTATTACTCTTTCAAGTTCGATTTTTTAAATTTAGCCTCTCTTCATTTTATGGTAAATGTATGGCCTATATTTTCTAAGCAAGCCTCAAATTTATGTTGGAAATTCTAATAATCAAACTCTTTTTAACAATGGATAATATGATTTTGAGTTTGGGAAATAGATTTTCTTGTGGCTAAGATATTGCTTAGTGGTAGAATACTTGCCTAGCATGCATAAGGCCCTGGGTGTGATCCCTGCATTGTGACGATGGTGATACAATAATGGAATAAAGATATACTTCTGTGGTGAAGCGTTTACTCAGAATGTGCAAGGCTCTGGTTTCAATCGCCAGGATAATACAATCCGCCAAACAAAAAGAAAATATATTCCCATGCTCTCAAGCCAATCCTAGAATTTACTAATGTAGTAAGAGAATTTATTCTTGCTTCCCTAGGGCCTAGTGGTGAGGCTCTAAATCTAGAGTACAGCAGAAGAACCAGTGCTTACTTCTGTGTGGTACAGTGCCCCTCCTAGAACCTTCTGACCACTGATGTTATACACTAAATATGCAGCATTACTTCTCAAATTATAACTGACTAAAGGCAGAGAACAGCTACAAAATCTTTCAAAATCTGCAAGGGGCCTACAATACCAAGAGGTAATCCTATGAACACATGCTGTGATTAGTGAAATTATAGAGTTCAAAATTATATGCAAACTGCTGTTCCACTAAATAGTAGCATCACTAGTTCGTTTAATTCTTTAGTCCTGTTTCTATACGATTTTTAAAAGAGATCTTTCATCAAGGGAGGCATGTGAAAAATAATTACCTGCTCTTGCAAGCAGTGTTCGAGCTGCTAGGTCAAATTTGTGCCTTCTTGTTACTGTAGAGCGACCTCTAGTTGGTGGTCCACTTCCAGAAGCTGCGTTCTCTGTATGATCAAGATTTTCAGGGCTACAAAACCAAGTGTGAAGGCAACATTTTTTTTTAAAGCTCTCATGAAAAGAAAGCAGAAGTACAACCTTGTTTGTGGTTATTGCTCTTTTCTCCAAATATCACTGAGAATAAAATAGTTTGTGTATGCTCCTGCATGTGTCTGTGTGTACGCTCATGTATGTGTGGATGCAGGGGAATGTGTCTGGAGGCTGGTAGGACAATCTGGTGTTGTTTCTTAGCTACTGTTTTTGTTTTTACCCCCCTGAGACAGGGTCTCTTACTTCCTTGGAAGTAACCAAGGAGACTAGACTGGCTGGCTAGTGAGTCCTGGGAATCCACTCATCTCTACCTATCCAGACTATGGTGGTGATGGTGGTGGTGGTGGTGGTGGTGGTGGTGGTGGTGGTGGGGTGTGTGTGTGTGTGTGTTTTGAAACAGAGTTTCAATATGTAGCTAGCTCTGGCTAGCCTAGAAATCACCATATGTAGACCAAGCTAGCCTTAAACTCAGAGAGATCCACCTCTTTCTGTAGGGATTAAAGGTTTGTACCACTACACCGAGCCACGCATAGGTTTTTAAAAAAGGATTCTGGGAATTAGACTCAGGTTGCAAGTATTTTACCAACTGAGCCATCACTCCTTAAACAAAATTTTAAGGCTTAAAACTTTTTAAATTAAAATTAAGACATTTTATAGAATACCATCATAACATATTTAGAATTGTTTTTCTTGTTTGCTTGCTTTGTCATTCTCAGTGTCTTTGGCTATAAAAACATCTCTTTTAAAAAAAAAATACTGACAGTATCAAAAGAGGAAATGGACATGATTTACATAAACCCTTTTTTGCGGAGGAGTTGCTGGCGATTAAACCCAGGGTCTCCAGCATACTATAAGCATCTACCACTGAACTATCTAGCCCCTTAGCCCATGACAAAACTTTCAAACATTTTATCATTCCTTGTGAAACTCTTTACTTCTAGGTGTGTCATACACTGCTTCTTGGGCATTAATTTTATCTCATTTTCAATTCTTCCAACAGTAAAATGATGCTTAATTCATCTTCAAAATCAGACAAGATCAGAAGTGGGTGCGTGGCTTGTAGAGAGCTTTGCCTAGAGAGTAGAGACTGGAGTATCATCAAAACCCCACAGCAAAGGAAGAATAATGTCCAACTCAACACTAAATGATTAAACCCTTAACACCTGAAATGATACAGAACCTGTGCTGAGGAGAAACAGATATTTCAAATTAAATTTTAAAAATATTCATGAAACTTATAAAAATGTTTTCCTGTTGTATAAGACATAAGCCTTGATAATGTACCCTTTTCTGGCTTCTATAGATAACAGGCAAGAATGTGGTGCCCACATTATGGCAAAATACTTACAAATGTAAAAAATTTAAAAGAAAAAGAAAATAGTCATAAGGAATGTAAAAGGAAAGTGATTTTAAGATAAATTTTAGGATATTTTATTATATCTCATTATAGGGTACATATACTCCAGAACCCTCTCTTCATAGCTTTGAAAAAAAAAAAAAAGAACATAAAATACTAGATAGTAGTAAAAACTATATGATTTGGGAATGTATCTATATATCTCAGTGTTAGAGTACTCTAGATTTGATCCTTAGCACGAAAGAAAACTTTAAAATAAATGGACATATAAATTTAATTAAAATGAGACAGAAAATATATTCCTATCAAATTCATTAATTAAATCAGTTTTGTTTCATTTTTAAAGCAGTGCCAAGGACTGAACTCAGGCCCCTAGACAGAGTTTCTTTCTCTGTGTATCTCTGGCTATCTTGGAACTTGTTCTGTAGACCAGGCTGGACTCAAACTCTCAAAAGATCCACCTGCCTCTGTCTTCCAAGTGCTGGGACTAAAGGTGTGTGCCACCACCAACTGACTCAATCTTTTCTTGTTTTTATTAAATTTATAAAGGTGTAGCAGCATTTATGATGGGAAAGAAATGGAGTTTTACAGGCAATAGTTAGGACACAAGAGACAGAAATAAAGAAACTAGAATTTTACCTTTCACTAAAGCCTTCCTCCATTTCAGCAGCATCAGCTGATGGTATGTCTCCTGGTGACTGCAAATAACAGGGATCATTTGACTTCCCACCACTTCCCAGAACTGTTGTTCCATGTCTGGAGTCTGCTGTGCTGCTTGGCTGGGGCTCCTCCTCATCTTCATGCCCAGGGTGCTCTATCATCCACATAGCAAGAACAGTGATATTCTGGGCATCCGCCTCTCCTCGAGCACCTACACAAGCAGAAATGTTGTCTGACACCGAATTTGGATAAAATAACCAATGTCTTATGTTATTAGTTTATGAGTATTTGTTCTGATGATTTTATAATAGATCTGCTGTTTAAAATCTTAAAAAGAAAGGCTCAGAAATGACTCAGCAGTTAAGAGCACTTGCTGCTATTCCAGAGATACAAGTTCCATTCCTACTACCTATGTCAGGCATCTCACAACCAACTCTAACCCTGGTCCAGGGGACCCAATGCTGTCTTCTGGCCTCCACAGGCATCTGCATTCACATGTGCACACACACAGACACACACACACACACAGACACACACACAGACACACACACACATGCACATACTCAAATAAAAATGTCATTTAGAAAATCTAAACAAGATTTATGAACTCTTTAAAACATTCTTCCTTCAATAACATTTAAGACTTCTTGTATCTATAAATACTGTAGTATAAAAATATCTTACCTGTAGCTTCCATAGCTTTGGCAATCTGTCGGAGAGAAAAGCCCATTTCCAGTAAGGGGACTGCAATTGCTGGAGGAGGAGGGGATGTGGAGAGTCTGCTGCTTGGGTCTGACAAGGCTAAAGCAGAAGAACGAACAAAGCAGGCTTGAATACTAGACACCACAAGCAAGAATACACAAGCAAGAATACAACTGTGATACTTCAATTTCCTACAATTATTCAAACTCGATACAAATTTACTGTTAAAATGTGATTATCAGAACTGGGTATGGAGTTACATGTCAGGAATCCTAGCACTCAGGGGCCTGAGGCAGAAGGATCATGATTTTGAGGCAAGCCCAACAGAGAGGGGTTTTTTTTTTTTTAAATTGATTGCTTGTTTGTTTAAAACCATAAATGAAGCCAAACTTCTCATAGCAATATAGGGCTGTTGTATAGATAAGTAAACCTGCTCATAGTAAAAATTAAAATATATAAAAATTTTCAAGAAGAGCACCAAGAAATCTCTTTCTTCCGAACTACTATAGAATTAACAGCAAACCAGATGCTTTAACTTCTCTGAATGTTAACAGGCAATTCATACAAATACAGCCCCAGCTCCCAGTCTAGTTTCACCACATATACTGGTAATATTCCTTATAGCAAAGTATCTAGAATAACCTGTGCATTTTACCTGGTTATGAAATCTCTTTGGTCTCCTGAAGCACCTTGGTTTGCCTCTGCTAGTATTGGGGATTGAACTCAGGGGCTTAGACACACTAGGCAAGCACTTTCCCACTCTATTTTTACGTTTTATTCTGAGATGAGACCTCATTAAGTTCTGCAGGATGATCTTGAACTTGGGACCCTTCTGCCTCACATTCCTGAGTCGCTCGCTGGTCAACCATGTGATACATGATAAATCACTGCCTAGTTATTTTGTATGAAGCCCCACAATTTGGGTTTCTGCCAATGTTTCCTTTTGATACATTACAATTGCGTGGATTGTGATTAATGCTACACTTAGAAAGACATTTTTAGCACTGAACATTGGCTTTTAAGAAACGGAGGACATATGTGATTGATATATGTATTACTTCTCTCCAAATGGCTGTAATTTAATCTATAATTCAAAACATAGAAAGCACCTACTTTAAAAATATAGTTCTCTTTCATTAAGTACCTTTTAAATCTTCAATTAAGAAAAGACACAATGATTATAAAACAAAGTCCATGTATCTAGAATACAAAGAGGTTTGGGTACTATACTTCACGACAGCAAGTTCACCTGTACGGTTAGCTGGCCTTGTAGATTGAGAATCAGGAGAAGTTAAACTCTGCCTCCTTCCTACTTCATCAGAAGGAGAGGCTGGCAATGATGATATGGGAGGAGTCTGTGCACGACGTGTGGGAAGTACAGTGGTGGTTGGATAACTAGAAAACATTTGCCTTTAAGAAAATAACAATAATTAGAAAAAAAATCCCAACTGGGAAAGAACAGACATATTATAAATATGTATGTATGTATGTATGTATGTATGTATGTATGTATGTATGTATTTTATGCATGTAAGTGCATTGTTGTTCTCCTTGGACACACCAAAGGAGGGCATCAGATCCCTATTACAGGTGGTTGTAAGCCACCATGTGGTTGCTGGAAACTGAACTCAGGACTTCTGGAAGAGCAGTCAGTGCTCTTAACTGCTGAGCCATCTCTCCAGCCCCCATTACAAATCTTCTTACACAACAAATTACAACCTGAAAGTCAGCATAAGTTAGCTATAATTTAATACAAAGTGAGGAGAGATTCTTCAGTATTAAAAGTAATTATTTCATAGGTTATTAACTATAAAAGCATAATTTTCTAAAAAATATAGTAGCAACATATTGGGGAGTAATACAGAAATTACAAAAATAAATTAACCACCCTTGTCTTTATGGAGTTTTTCTTCTACTATAACATCAAGATGACAGGGGTATTTTGGTATAAACTAAACTAAAGAAGAATTTTAAGGACAAGAAACTTGGACTAGAGATGTGGCTCAGATGGTAGGAGTATTTGCTCAGCATGCACAAAACCCTGGGTTCAATCTCCAGTTTGTATACAACTTAGTGTGGTAGCATATACTATAATCCCAGCAATCAGGGGGTAGGCACAGGAGTTCAAGGTCATCCTTGGCCTTTTAGGAAGTTCAAGGATAGCCTAGGATACATGAGATCCAGTCTCAAAAACAAAAACAGATAGGAAACTTTACTTTAAATATTAAATACACTAGCTATAAAATTAACATTGATGTCAAGTATTAACTTACAGGAAAATTAAAGAAAAAGTGTACAGTTACTCAGCACAATTCAAAAATAGTATGAATGTATGATATACCAGAGGGAGATAACATGTACTCGCTATGGTGGTGTGAACAGTACATGAGTGAGAGGCACAGAGAGGAGAGGAGCTCCCTCTCACACTAAGGAGGAGGACACTGATGAAGGAGAAGTCTAGATCAGTCCCTCACACTAGGAGCTTTTTCTTTTCTGTAGGGATGGGGATTGAACACAGAGCCACTTGCATCTGCTAGGCAAGTGCTCTACTACCCCCAAGCTTTATTCTCAGCAATCAAAGAGATTTCTAGCTTCAGAAGAGCACTGTTTACCCAATAAATCATGGCACACAGAGGGAGCAACAGGCTTACCTCCAACCAATTCCAAGCCAGTAGTAGAGAAACAAAGATTAAGAAGAAAGGAAGATTCTAAGAGTGCAACTTTGAGTTCAGTTTCTACTACTAAAGAGAGAAATAGAAGCAGCATCTAG